CACGACTGAGCTCCGGCCTGAATGTTCGCTCAACGACGCGATATGGTCGGCCTCCTGCAACAACAACATTGAATACGACTAATGAATCTTCTCATCCAACATCCAACAGGCTTCTCATCAAACCTCACACTTCTGTATTAGGTTGCCAAATATTGGTCCATATGTATCTCCGTAGCAACATTTAAAATGGAAGTTCTACATTTGGACATTCTGCATTGTATCGTCTTGGACAGCAGGTTCATGTGAAGCTTGCTACCGATCGATGACGGTTAGAAAACCTGTCGTTTGTGGATAAGTCCTCGGCTGCTCCAAATAAATTCAACTTTGTTGAATCTCTGCACTGTTCCGTATAGGTTTTGACTGCACGGAATTGTAAAACTCGGGCTCAGAATGCACTCACTGGATAATTTACTTCTCGCGTCTAAGTATTATCTGCAATCATTTCCAGCTCCTTGTATTTATTTATAGTTAGAAAGCAGGAATTTGATAAATCGATGCTGCTGCTTGATGTATTTAGCGCATTTTCTCATTAATGGAAAAAATGCACAATTGTGCTTGCCATGTCCGTCTGTCTGTCTGGCCGTCCGTCCGTGACCTCAAGTTTTCGTCGACGAGAAAATGCGCTCTCTGTCACTCACTGCTGTGAGTACTGAGTTATATTTTTTTAATCTCGAAGCGCATTTCTTCAGTCCTCGCTTTCAAAAAGTCTGGTTTGTTATGTTCAGCGTAGATTAGGCGGCACAAATTACATGTTTATTTTGTAGCTGTGTTCTTTAGTAGCAGTGCAGGCTTACGGTGAACCATTCCTGAGCTGGAATTAATTGAACGAATTAATATAAGAATATGCCCGACAGAACCAATTAATATAAAAACATGCCCAACAGAAGGTTCTGAGCAATTTTCGCAGTTGAGTTAAACTTTAATAAAACCATTTCTTAAGGCAAGCTGTGATGAGATGTCCCTTTTTAAGAGTAATTTCCCTGCACAGTCGCACACCATGCACACTCGTGCAATGAAAGTGAAAGCTCTGCAGCAGAACTGAATACCAACTTCAGCATTTCCGCTGGTCAGGGCAATAGCTGAGCTTATGTATGTTGTTGACACGGAACTAACCATAGAGTTGATGTTGCATTTCAAATACCGGTTGTTCATACAAACATTTTTGATTGTGATTCTGAAACTTAAATTTCTGATTAAATTTTCTGCTATTATTAATTTCTAGTTTATAAATGTCTCGGTTAATCTTAGACCTAAAGTGAAGTTCATGTTTGAGATGTTAATTCCCGACTGATAATATAGTTAAATAAATATGTTCATTGTTCTTTTTAATTACAATCCCATACAAAGTTTCCCATTCGTTTCCACTTTCATGGGTTGAGTTCCATTTGCCGTATAAATTAACTGCGTTCAAACCTGTATTCTTCCAAAACAACGGTAGTGGATTGAAACTTGATTTCAGTTCTTTTTTGTTATTGAAACATGGTCTTTGTTAGTCGACTTAATTTTTTGGGGACAAAGCATGTCAGTATGGGAGGTTACTCTGTAATAGGCACGACAGTCGAGCGATGCAGGAAGAGATGGAGAATGACATGATTAGGTCAAATTGACGGCCTGACGCCCGTCACTTCTAGCCGACGGAACGCCATAGCAAAGAACTGGTGCCGCTAGTCGGCATGTAGTGTTTGCGAAGGCATCACATTCATATCGATCACATTTCCAGGCTTTTCTTTCTATTTTATATGCTAGACCTGTGAACAAATAACGCATTTTTCATTGAATTAAGTTAATCTTTGATATAATTTTGTTAGGATAACGTTCCGACTTCGGGTAATTTCCGCTATCTTAAAAGCTCATGATGGGCAGACAGCAACGATTGCTGTTGTGAGGATCAACTGTCACGTGTACTATGACTAATGAGGGTTGTGATTCATCTACTGGTCATTAAGCATTGGCATCCTGTGGGAGACGTCGATATACCGAGTGACTATACCAGCTTCCTCTGACGATTGTGTGGCAAGTTTTATGCTTGGGACGAGCTCTACAACCGACAGATCGTCACAGCGTTTTTTGTCGTTATACCCATAAAGGTTGAGTCTGGTTATGTTCTTATCTGATTCAGTGGAAGGATATTCACGTGCGTCCTCAGGTGAAGGTGCGTGAGCAATAAGCACCTCAGGCAGGCATGCACGAGATGGTGTGATGCATGCTGTCTATGTTAAGCTGACCCTGATCATATAAACTTTATGATGCCCATCATCGCAACGACTGAAAGTTTTAACGAACAGATTCATGTACCACTTTATGCTGCTTGTCAGAAATATCTTTCGATCTACTGTTATTCAAGTTGCAAATTGATGCCATGAAGTTTCCGAAATTTTTTAGCAGTAATAATTACGACACAATGCCGTTGGTGTATAATTCTTACGATTTTTGGCTGTTCGGTAATGTATAGTTGCCCTTTATATCAGCTGCACGTTCAGTTGCGTGTTGTCACAGGTGCGTGTTGTCACAGTTGCATGTTGTCACAGTTGCATGTTGTCACAGTTGCATGTTGTCACAGTTGCGTGTTGTCACAGTTGCGTGTTGTCACAGTTGCGTGTTGTCACAGGTGCGTGTTGTCACAGTTGCGTGTTGTCACAGTTGTTGCGTGTTGTCACAGGTGCGTGTTGTCACAGGTGCGTGTTGTCGCAGTTGCGTGATGCTGCAGTTGTTTAAAATTTTTTGAATTGCACGTTTTCCTCAAATTTAATTCCTTAGTCCAAGTGTTTTCCCATGTTGTCGCCATGCCACGTTGGGCTCTGGGCTCGTCGCTACTTGATTCAAATAAATGTGTTTAATTTGGGTATTAGAAACTGTGAATGTGTTATCTACAAAATTACTCGTTTTGCTCTGCTGTTAGTTGCGACGAATGTCGAAAATGATTCTGTTCATTATCCGTATTTTCAATTTCATTTTTCTTAAATGATTACTTATGGCTGTTCATAACATTAGTTTAGTGTAAGATCACGATTTATAACTTATTTCATCGCCTGTGTGAAAATAACGTCAAATCAGTATTTTACTATGATTGATTTGTCACGAAAGCCTATTTCTTCCATGCGATCTTGTTACTGTGTTACGATCTTACATAATTCGTATGAACATGACACGATATCAATCTAGGCTATGAGGCAAAACAGACACGGTAACTCCTGCCTGAACAAAGATGCTGGTTGTTGGAGAATGATAGAGAACGAAGCCTTTGGATACCGCATAAAAACTGGCCCCTGCGATTACACTTGCTTCCTGACTACTCTGCGTTGCCCAAGTCTACTCTGTTGTATTCAGTACGCGTGCAAGTGAGACAATGCGCATTCAAATATTCATGGTAATTCACGTCCTTTCATGGGCTTGGCAATGCTCGTCCAAGTCGTGTGTTGTGCTCATGAATTGCTTGCTTGTTGACTGGGTTAGCTTTTGCTATGTTTGAAGACGTGACACTTCGGTTAGTTTGTTTGATCATTGCCTTGTTTTTAATGACATGAAGGTAATCTCACGTGTTTTTCAAGATCCACTTGTCATGTCTCACGGATAACTTTATTTTCTAGTGATGCTCTTTTAAATCGTATACAATTACATTTATTCATTCCATCTTAATTCGGTGGATTTTTCTTTTATTAAAAATTTCCGGCTGTTTCTAGTTTTTTATTGGTGATGAGAAAGCATGCACTTCAGCCCTTGGTATCCAAAGGCTGCTATGAAACATACTAACGTATTTATGTGTAGACGGACGTGTAGGCACGTTACAAACCAACCCCAGCCCGTCTCCTTCTTCTGGCACATGCGCGCAGTAGCATCATAGGCCGCGGCACAAGAAGCTCAGTCTCTTGAATCTTCTCGGGGCCTTGGCACATCAAGTTTTTATTGTTGCGATCCAGGCTGTAATTTAGCAAATTCTAAGTGGCCGCCCTCGACTCCAAGTCTCCAACTGTCTTTTCGAAGTGCGTCGCACCTCCAGTTTTTTTTATCTTCAGAATGATCTTGTCAGGCAGCACAATTTTATAGGCGGTAGGTTTGACTTCGCTAATATTTTTGACTTCCTTCATTTTTAATTATTTGCCAGGTGCTAATTCTTATCCATATTATTTCAATATTTGCTCTCTGATTTTCAGTTTTGGTTTTTAAGGCGTAAACTCTTGAATAAATGAATCAAGCTTCGAGATTCGCTGGTCCGTTTTATGTATTTTTTTGAAAATTCTTTTATGATAGCACCGAAAAGGTGTTTTCGGTCAAATTTTCGCAGTTTTTATCTTGAGCATCAATCCATTTCTACTTCAGCGTGTGCAAAAATACTTCCGTAATCTGGCCGTTCTAAAAAAACTAGTCCAAAAAATATTAGGTGTGAGGTTCACTCAGATTAGAGCTGCCGGAGATTATATACCATGTTGATGTTTCCTGATCTGAGTTCCGTGTTCTTTATCCTTTGTGTTTTGCCTGTTATTAACTGAGTTGTCGTGAAAATCTCTCCTGCCTGGTATTCTTTATTCTAACGAAGAGAAAATATGCACATTTTACTCTGCCTGTTCTTCATGTTTAAACAAAACATCCACGCAACACGTACAAATACATTTTTTATACAATGTATTTCTTCTAGCGGTTCACTTACTCCCTATTATCATACCCTGGCCTGGCTCAATATTTGCGCACATTGTTGAGTGCTTTACCGTCTCGACCGTTAGTCGGCTCCAGCGGCTGCAGAGAATAAGTAATTAACCTGCGCCTTGCGCTCCGTCCCAAAAAGCCTAAATGTTTCTACCTGCTGCCCGCTCGTTCTATCCAAGTGGCTTCCGCATTTGGTTCTACCCTTAGAGCTGGAGGAATTCTATTTGCTATGTATCTTTATTATTCATCGCATATTTTTTTCATTGCTTATGTAAATGCATTATTGCCTTGTGATTGTGTAAATACAATTTAGTTGCGACGATTGTGTTGTATCTGAATCTTATTTGTTGTACTCATAGGCGTGTCCACGGTGCTGGGCATGTGCCTGCTGGTGCTGGGTGGCCTGACCATCGTGTACTACGAACCCTTCATCAACAACATGATCTTCAAGGTTGGTGCAGCTCTTAAACGCTATCCTCAGGTGATGAGGCATTCAAGTCGTTTTTTCAGCTTTTAGACCATGTAAACGTTATTGTATAGTGAAGCGAGTTTATGGGACAATAAAATCTTTGATTGAATTAATGAAAAAGTTAGCGTTTATGCGACTAAATTCCAGTAGACTTTTGCGTGCTTGCTGTTGACGCATAATTAGATGTTTAATTAGTGTTCGATATTTTGCCAGTGCCGGATAATGTAAGTGGAAAAACTCTGATACGAGGATACTCTCTTGTTCTCAGTTTGTTTTAGTTGATTGTTATGAAACTTCACACAATTTTCGTGAGATTTTGAGTGCTAGGCGGAAAAAATTAACGTGAAACTTATTTTACTTTACTTTTCAATGGTGTCTAGTTATTGTCCGTTACCCTTGAGATTGGGCTTATCCACGAACAAATTGCATTGCTGTGGTTTCCGATTTAATTTTATCTTCTTTTAGTCCTATTTGTTCGTAATTAAATTACAAAAAGGCGTTCAGAAGACTAACAGCTCTCGATCGTTCAGGAGATGCTGAAGGGCACGGAGTCGACGCTGTTTGAGCCCGGGTCTGTGATCGACGTGAAGCCTGTGCTCAGCGTCTATTTCTTCAACGTGACCAACAAGGACGAGTTTCTGGCCGGCGACAAGCCCATCCTGCAAGAAGTTGGGCCTTACGTATACTAGTGAGTGCAGGAGTATTTACTACATTAATTCCATATTTATTGTTGTCATTGACAAGTTGCATAAATTCAGAAATCGCTTATTATATTAAAACCGAAATATGCCGTTTGTACCCCCAATGAGATCAAGAAACGTTCATTTTTTTGAAACACGCAATTTACCGGTTTTAATACGGTTTTTTATTTTATCATAACCTTTCTGTGTGCTCGACGGCTAATTTAATTTGCTTACATTATAATCGTTGAAATTACTACCATTTCTCTGTTACCTTATAATGCATATGCATATATGCATTATATGCATATATGCATTATATAATGCATTATATGCTTTTGCATATAATGATCTGTCATGTTGCAAAACTGTTGTGTTGCTTCGATAAAACCTAGACTTGTTCGCTGACTGTTAGTATTTCTTAATACTAAACTCGAAACATTAAATTAACTTGTACTCATTCCAAGTCTATCATGGAGACAATTACAGCCCTCGTAGATGTTGCAAGTCGCTGTATTGTGGTGGTGCGAAGACGCTTAGTCTTAATTAACAACGCTGTTGCTGTGCAGTCAGAAATGGATTCGCTGGAAGTCCTACAAGAACGCTAACCGCACCATCTCGGGCTCGCTCAAGAAGATCTATTACTTCGACCGCGAGGCCTCCTACGGCCCTGAGAGCGACCTCGTCACCACGCTCGACGTGCCTATGGTGGTGAGTGCGTGTGGTGCTTGCTTAAATTCATGCTTTATTTATCATAATTTAGCTGGTTCTTGTACTGTACACAACACAACTTATGTGTAATATTTCGTTACTTACAAGTAATCTTGTACTCGCTAATTATATTTTATGGTCTACATGTTATTCATGTGCTTAATCCACATCGCTGGTGTGTTGCCACAGACCGCGGTGTGGCAGGTGCGCTACACGCCCAAGTTCATCCAGCTGATCTTCTCAAGTATGCTCGAGGTGCTCAAGAAGACTCCCTTCACCACCCGCAACGTCAGCGAGCTCGTCTGGGGCTACGAGGATCCCCTCCTCAAGATGGCGCGCGACATCCTGCCTCCCGAGCAACGCTTCCCGTCTGACTCGTTTGGCTTCTTTTTAAATGTATGTTTGCCTGTCTAACGTTGCTAGGTCTATGATTATGAGGCTATGAAACATGTTTGTATTTACACAGTGCCATATACTTGTGTATTATATACAAGTAATTCCAACAGCAAAAAGTCAGCAATTGTGCACAACAGAACCGGGAAATAATTAGGAAGCTGATAATATGTTAACGTTTACTCAGTTCTCCATGTAAATCAGTACGGAAATTTTACTTCATCTTAGGTTTCAAATTGATAATAAGTAATGAAGGGTTGACTTAATTTATAACATAGTAATAGCGTAGATATGCATTTATCTTTTCTTGATTAGATCACTTAACGCCAAAGTTATTTTGCAGGCCAATAATAGCGATCCTGGTAACAACTTGAGGAACTTCCTAATCGGGACGCCTGAAGACATGAGCCAGCATCTGGAAGTTTACTCAGACGACTTCAAGGTTTACCTCAACTTCTGGAAGACGAACGAGTGCAACAGAATCCACGGCAGTGACGGCTCTGGCTTTCCTCCTGGCCTAAACCGCACGTCGACTTTATATTTCTACACTGCCGCGCTGTGTCGCGTAATCCCATTGCATTTTGTGAAGGACGTGGAACACTACGGCATGAAGGGCTACAGGTTAGTGCGCTCCTGCTGTATATTACTGCGTATCATTATCTCTAGGCATTTATTATTTCGCCTGCCTCATGACATTTGCCCTTCATTTCTTACATTAAAATAAAGAACTGGGATATTTGAATTGAGATTCATTGAAATTTGATAAATTTTATCATCCTCAATTTGAACGCTTTTGGTGAAACTTGAATTATAGGTACTAATTGTTACTGCGTTTGTTCAGGTTCAGTCCCCCAGAGGACGTGTTCGCGGACGAGACCGTGAACCCCGACAACGCCTGCTTCTGCCAGGGCAGCCCTTGCATCGGTGGCGGCCTCTTCAACCTCAGCATCTGCCAGTTCGGTGCGTTGACCGCAGAGCGCGGTTGACTGAATCGTCTCACTTGAGCCATTGACAGACTGGGGTCTTTGAGGAACCCATTCACTGAGGTCGTCGACTGAATCCCCTCACTGGTGCCTTTGACTGAACCCTCTCACTTGAGCCATTCACTGAACCCTCTCGCTTAAGCCATTCACTGAACCCTCTCACTTAAGCCTTTGACTGAATCCTCTAACAGGGGCTTTTGACTGAATTCTTTCAGCGGGGCCTTTGACGGAATCCTCTCCCTGGGGCCTTTGAATGAACCTCTCACTGGGACCTTCATTGAAACTGATTATCGTATTGCTTATAACTTTCTGTGAGCACTTTTATTACTGTTTGTGATAACCTATGTTTCTTTTTTGGGATCGCATTCTTGTGTCGTGAACAAGTTATGTTTCTTGCAGGCGCGCCCGCTGTGGTTTCGTGGCCTCACTTCTTCCAAGCTGACCAGAAGTACCTGGACGCAGTCGTGGGGCTTAAGCCTGACGCCGAGAAGCATCAGTTCTCCATGGACATCGCGTCTGTGAGTGCAGCCTCTGGCTGAACGACTGAGCTAAAATAATGCTAACGAATATTACAATGTTATCAAGTAGTTAGGGTGTGTTACTCTAGTGTTTTAATTTTTACAGTTTGTTTCAAGTTATTGTATTGTTTTCTGTCGCGTACAGCGGACGGGCTCCGTTTTGTCAGGCGTTGGCAAAGCTCAAATCAACTTCGCCCTCACCAACGTTTCTGAGGTGAAGCCTGCGCAGGGCCTGCGACCGATGATCTTCCCCGTCGTGTGGTTCTCTGACGTGAGTATTGAAGCTGGCCTGCTCCTCGAGCTCTTGGCTCATAAACATCTCTTAAGTTTTGCTTATATCAAGTTCATAAATTGTTACCATTATTTACGATCTTGCCTGCTAATTAATTCTTGTCATTTGCCCAGTTAGTGATTATTTAAATTAATACTGACACCTTGAATGGTCCAATTCAGTTCATATTTTTATTTTTGCCACAGCCCTCATTCTACGGCGCTGAGTGCCACGACGCATTCGTTCAATAATTTCTTTATTTTTGTTGTTGTACTTGTTGATTTTATAATACAACAACAATTGTATTTTGTCCAACATCGGTTTGCTGGTTTCATTTCCTAATGAGTTTCTGCACGTGTTCAGGGCGTTGCAGTTCTGTCACCTGGTATCGTCGACCAGCTGCGTATGGCTATCAACCTGCCTGAGGTGAGTGCGTCTGCCACAGTAGATCTTACTAGCGTTCTGTGTCCAGTAGTGGCAATAATGCGCAAAACCTAGGCTCTGTTGGGGGTTTTAATCTTCCATGTAAATGTGGCCGCTCTATTTATTATACTTGTATTCATGAATGTTTTAACTTATGATGGAGCTGATCTCAAGAACGTTGTCAATGATAATATTTTAAAATTGATAGGAATTTTCTTCAGTTTTAAATCGGTAAAATGAGATGTTTTGGTTAATTTACGTTTCAGGCAAATTAATGATATAAATACAAATAAAATAGCTTTCATAGGCGTCACGAGATTTTTATCCCTCACGTCATACTAATGCTTCTGAGGAGCAGATAAAAAAAAAAACGAAGATAGTTCCAAACAAACGCAAACGCCCAGATATCCCATAATATATTCTTGATTTATACTTTTATGCAATCCCAAAGCATTGTGACTCAGTTTGATTCGGTTACAGACAATCAAGGCGACAGTGTTGACGCTCTCCTTCATCTTCGGCTGCGTGATGTTCGTGGGAGGCATCACGATCTGCGTGATGCTGCTTTACCGCAAGACCGTAGGGTTCTCACCTGAACACGGCGTGGACGGCAAGGCGCCCGCGCACGCTTCTCGCTTGCAGGGTGTCAGCAACCCCGCCATGGAGAAAGATTGACAATTGTGGACGGATGATCAGACTCCTCGGCCTTGCAAACTACACCCTCATATTTACCAGCAGCAACTTCAGTATCACCAGCAATACCAGAAGCACCAACAGGCGCACCAATACCTTCAGCAACAACAGCAGCTACAACATCAGCATCGTCACCGAACTCAGTCTGGTGGTGAAGAGATGTACAACTCATCTCAATTTGCCGCTTATCAGTTTAGCGACGATGAAAATGTCGGTGACGTACGGCGTGCAGAAAATCTGGTTGGCTACAGTCGACTAAGCGAGTCATTCACGCAGGCCCTGCCGGCATGGCATTATATTGAGGCGGGCTACCCGCGAGTGCCGCGCTGGGCCAACTGGCGGTCGCCATATCCTCAGGACGACCAAGACGCCTCTCGTATCGTTGATTAGTTTCAATGAATGTATTGGGTTTGTGTCGTTCGTTTTGCAGTATTTTTGCCTCCCATTTATCAGTACGATGTACTGAAATACGAAGATATTTTGTCACAAAATGTAAATTTACCAAAATTTGCAACATGAAGGTTGTTTTTGGTCGCATTTATCAACAGATTTTAGGCTAAATAAATTCATGAACCAAATTATTATCAGCACAATTTTCAACATGAACATTCCAGAGCAATAGTGAGTGTGGTTGTCTAGCTCCGAGCTGATCATCTGTCGTGTTAAAACTTAAGTTCAAGTGCCTTATCCTCGCGGTAAAATAAGACGCTAGTGCACTTCAGTCAGGTCAACAAGATACCTGACTCTTTAGTGCACACTTAATGTTAAGGGTCGTAAGTTTATGTAGACAAGTTTGAATTATGTATGCCTTATCTGAGGAGATTATTCTAGACTTGACTAGTTCTGGTAAGAGAGGTTCTCTTGAATCTGCGTGTGCCATGGCTTGTAAATCTCGCTGGTTTATCTCCTTTATTAGCTCACTGTGATATTTGTGTTGACATCCTCTCATCTAGGATATCCATCAATGAATCTCCAAAACTCGAAATTTTAGTTCGACGTTTTAGACTATTTTGGCAGCTCTCGATTCTTCTCTTACTTGATCACCGACGAAGGTGATGAAGTCCTCCAATGAAGATCATTGGTGAACTCTTCAGAAAAATGTTGCTGTCTGGCCTCACCAACCGATAGATCCTTCAAAAATTCCCTGACTGCACGATTTGGTTGATGTATTTTGTCCTCGTCCTCACTGTAGGATTTGATGTATTTTGTCCTGGACTCGACTGTAGGATTTGATGTATTTTGTCCTGGACTCGACTGTAGGATTTGATGTATTTTGTCCTGGACTCGACTGTGGGATTTGATGTATTTTGTCCTGGACTCGACTGTAGGATTTGATGTATTTTATCCTGGACTCGAGAGCAGAATTTGCTGTTAATTTCACATGGAGACTCTGGGAAACAGTCGTGTGCACCATCACCGCTGCTGGGAATTATGATGAACTGATAAAAATTTTGTAAGCTAATGCGACCGACCTAATTAATTCTGTAATTATTTGACCTCATGTCTAGGACTTATCATCTCACAAATCAAGTGTCTTTGACAAGTTGTTAAATTAACTTATCTACTTGATTCTCATTTGTAAGCATGCAGGAAACAATGAATGCGTCAGCAATATATATATAGATCATTGGCTTTATTTAAGTTTTGAGGTCTTCACTCGGGCTCAAAATAAATGCTCTAAATATTGACTTCATCTGCTATAGCGTTTTGTGCTTCTACTTTATAGAATTTACTTAGAGAAACAGCTATTTAAAAAATATTGTACCTCGTTAAAATATCTCGCAGGGTTGCTGCTGACTTTGATTGCATGAATTATCTTCCATTTATGCTTCGTATGTGAAGTTATTACGCATCCCAATATTTCATGGGCCTAGTTCACCTTCATCGTCCGCAGCTGGAGTCTCGTGTCTTCCATTAGAGTTAATGTTTGTACTTAATGGCGCGTGAGTTGCTCAGAAGACCAAGCCACTCAGGGTCTGCTCTTCTAGACACAAACGGCGAGACTAGCCGACAGACCAACTCACTTGTGGTCTGGTCTACATATTCTTCCTGTGCGTTTAGTTACGAATGCTTCTATATTCTCAATCAAATATTTTTGTACGAGCTGTTATGCATATACTCTCTTTAGGTGTAGATTTTTACTTAAATTAAAAGAGAATTATTCGGTGAAAATTTTCTATACACCTTCATAATATAAAATTATAAAGATCTATCAAACTGTAGAAATAGGTTTTTTTTGTTACTTTGCTTCTTTTTTTTTCATTTTGTTCGCATCTATTTATGGTCTGTTCACTCTACGCATTTTTATAAATGCATGGGATCGGCTGGGCCCGTCTTGAAGGCTGATTTTACGGCGCTCTGCACTGTCCGCATATTATCATACGCCGTTCATTTAACTTTCATAATTTGTGTCCTCGGATTATTAAACTCACGTCGAGATGTTTGTGTTAGCAAACTTAGTAATTTATTGATGCCTTTGATAAGGAAGACCGATATTACAGACTACTTTGGACTTGCAAGCTGAAGAAGAATGAGATTGTGTCATGATTTATGGTACCACTTTTTAAGAGCCACTGCTCTCTTATTAATGTGATGTAGTTTCTGCCTTACCATCTTCACTGAATTATTGAATTTATTTGGAGTTTAAACGAAACTATTTGAACAAAATTTTAACCATAATTCTTCGTTAATGTTTGAACATGGCAGGCCTCGCAAATTCGAGGCAATGTAGACATACAAACGTAAAAAACTTGAGAACCAACGAATCTATCGGTTAGTTAGTTTAGTGGCCAAATGTTTACTAGCGCTTCAGCTATTTAGCTATCTCGCACCGAAAGTCAAGATGAACATCACCATAAAGTTGGAAGGTCTCAATTATTCATCACCCACAAGGGGCGGGAGGTCTCAATTGTCCAGCCCGCTGAAGCTGGCTCGAAAGAACCAGCGTTAGCATATTCAAGACTAGTTCAATGAAGTGTTTTACTATTGCGCACTATCTTGGTATCAGTGAAAAAATCGAAGTAGAGTGTGATGCAGGATCAGTAGAGTGATGATATGTACACCTTTCTGCTGCTCATGCAGCACTCATTCTAAAGGAATTTGAATTTTTTTTATTCCATCGTATTGACAGAAGTTGATTCCTCATCATTTTCATTCACATATTTAATTCAGCATTCCAGTATTTCCTGTACAATGTTCACATTGTTCAGGCAGAGGTGAATGAGAAACACAATACGATCAACTATTGTACTAGCTGTCTGAGGAGATAAGCAACGCAGATTGTGATGGGCATGTTTCATCTTGCAGCAACGATAAGCTGAAATTTGTGTTAGTCATTCAAACAAGCACGAATTAATCCAGATGACCAGAAGCTGGCTCATAAACCTCGCTGGATTGCACCCAGTATTATAGCTGGTCGGTTAGTGGTACGAATTGCAAAAGCTTGCACGAGGATAGAGAGCTGTCATCCGAGGCGGTAATCCCTCTGAGATTCATATGTAGTAAGAATGATTTCAAACATTACACATCAACAATATAAAAAGAATCTACCGTAACTCAAACGTATATACTAAAATCCATTGTTCCTTTGTCATCAATAATGCCATGCAAAATGAACAATAACAAATGTAATAAGATTATTTAATGAGCATGGAACATGTCGCCACACTCCGTCCTCGTCCTTGGGTTAATCTCGACAGTAGAGGCTATCATCAAGTTAATAAATCAAATCTTATCGATAATAGATAAAAATCCAATGAGCTACGATTCATCAATATTAGATGCGGAATGAAGAGCACTAACTCTTAATAAAAGAAGAAAATGAGTATTATCCATCTTTGGCGAATTGATAGATACCATAAGTAATGGAAGGTCAATCAACAAAATACGGAACGTGACGAAGCCCAGCGTGTTGCTCACGATTCTCAGATACTTAGAGGGTAACCACCACAAAAACGAACACTGGACCTGCTTAATGAACGGCCACAGCTGGACTTGACACGCTGCAGTAGCTCCATTGCAACGCCAGGCAAGACAAACACCAACAACAGAGTACATGAACATATATTACTTGACTCAGGGAGACATTCTTCATAAAAATATTGCTTTAAAAGCGATGTATATTCATTCTCATACCGGGGTCCAAATCCGTGGATAATTTAATCGAGAACAAGGACGCTAAATTTATCGCGCCCAATGTCATGAGTCAGCTCTGAGTAAAAAATTTTAAAAGATCATATCGAGATAAGTTGGAGGATGGTTGCACAATATAGTCGTCAGGCTCAAGAGATAAAGCACCCAATACGACCATGAACTTCAGTTGATATTGACAGCATCTTCGGACGGAGGATCTTCCCGTGACGGATATGCTTGCCAGGAAGATTCCATCATAAATATTATGTCGATAATTGTCAACTAATAATTGTCAACAAACCATACCATGAACTAGCTGGTCACGTAACCTAATATTCCTGTTGACCGGAGCACAAGAAAATATCCTCCAACTTGCGAACTATTTTCCATGGTTATATAAGACGTGATGCTAAATCTCTTCGCTATCAGCGAATAATTTACTTACGTGACGGAGCTTGGAAGCTGATTACAATGAAGCAAGGAACATGGGCTCAGCAAAAAGATCTTCGAGAAAACGTGAAATCGTTTTCTGATAGTCATTAATTAAAAAGCACCTTAAATAAAAACAGTCTTAAAAATAGCTGAGAGAAATTGTGCGAAACAAATTATTTAATTCCGATACACGACTCGCTCTCACATTGAACGTCGTAAAGAAGAAATAATTGTACCTAAATTATAAAATTTTCAATGTAAAAATGCACACAAATAACGACTATGAGATACAAAAAAAAAACAGAATTCGTCTTGATAACTCTAACGGCAATAAACAATCAGAGCTTGGCTATACTATACACATAAAACTAATCAACAAAAATTCATCGAAGAATAACAACAAGCGCTATACATACACCAAAATAACCTGTTAAGCTAACACCTCACAACGTAAGCCATCTTAGCAGTCAAGACATTTCTTGTGAGCTTGCATTAAATGATAGGAGAGTCTCGAAATATATACGTTGATCGGCCATGGTCCGACCAAACAACTGAAGAGCAAGAGAGCAGCAGCATGGGAAGGGAGACTAGTGCATCCAAGAGTTAATCTTAGTATTAAATTACCATAAAGGACAATAAAAACACTCAGCAGAGAGAACACCGTAACTGAATAGGAGGAAAATCAAGCAATAATAATATACGTTTAAAAATTACTTTTTAAATCAGACAGACAGACAGACAAACAAGAAGTGAAGTTAAAGAGAAGTGTTGTAAAAAGAAGAGCAAGAAGCATGTCCATATTTGCTTCGAATAAAATTGATACAGCCCACACCAGTCAAATCCCTTGTATTGCAGCGGGTAGTATTGAAAGACAATACAGTGATACCCCGGATTTGCCGTTAATCCTTTTCAGGAGAGGCGTCTGCTTATTAAATGGTTGACTTACGAATACTCAATTGGTTTCAAACAAACAAAATTACTGCATTACTGCAAACAAACAAAATTACTAACAGAATGAAAAAATTTTTCCACTAACTTACTTCTAAACATCCGTCGAATTCTGAGTCACAATTTTGCCAATATTGTGCACCGACTTTCAATTTGTCGAGTTCTGATACGGAACTCCCAAAATCGGAACCACGTAATGGCTTCAACGGTACATGAAATTTCAACAAATCTATATTATTGCAGTGCTTCAAAGTATACAACATCAACGAAAAGAATAGAATAACACTATTGAGAATACACGGGAACCTTTAAAGCATTTAAGGAAAAGAACAATTTATGTTCGCCAGTGTTCGAAACCAAAGTCGCCATCATACCTAGAGACTGGATAACTTCGAACACATCTCTTACATCACTTATCGTCTACGAGAAGCAATTCACTAAAACGGAATGTCTGAAAATTTACAAAATGATTCAACAAACACCTCGCCTTAATGTTATTTATTTACAGGATTAAAATGCTGACAAGTTTATACTTAATGTCGAAGAGTTTAGAAGCAAGTTTATGTACACATCGAAGTAACTTATTTGCTTTTAAATCGGTTTCCAAATCTCACGACTGAAGTCACGCATTAGTTGAAGGTAAACCAATACGTGAAGGAAGCGGCCAAAGTTTTTAAATAATGAGTATCATTCTGGGCGTACAAAATAAAGCACACATTAACGCGCTCTCATGGTTCAATCGCACAATAAATACATTGCAGCAAAACTGAGGAGCAAAAGAAGACGTTAAAATAAAGAATGCTAAGAGATGAAGAATGCCTGACGATAATAAATGACCGAAAACCTTCAGAACACAAATGCTTTATCCGCAATAAAACGTCCTTTTGTGAAACCGAGTTAACCCTCTTAAGGCCGTATGTCACTCTCCAGGAACATAACTTTCAACTTGAATTATACGTAAACTATTGAGGGTAGCAACCTGAGGACGTTTGTACGCAACAGAGAACATTTTAAAGTTGTCGTACGTGGCGGCAACCATCAGTGCAAGCCATTTTGCACTCACTAGAACGGATCCTTTTTGGGAAGCAGGCTTGTGACAATATTGCTCCGGTTACTCATGTCAGGCGGTAGAGGATTAAATCATAAAAGGGACCGGAGATGAACATCGGCATACATCCACCTACACTACCAGGAAAATGTACAATACGATTTATTAAGATAAATGATCTAGTAAAAAATATACGTTTAAAAATTACTTTTTAAAGACAACACTTCTAAAGAATCCAGTGTTTCCAATGTTACAGATGTACAATGAATTTTTAATTTTATTTTCGAATATTAAAAAAATTAATTTTTCAATTTTTTAATATATAAAATTTCTTCAAAATTATTTATTCTGACAATTGATTCATGTATTGCCTCCAACTTCACACAGGTGTGCAAAATTTCATATCAATTGGACAGGTAAAAGTGTGTCAAATATCAATCATAAGATTTGTAGCTGAAAAAATTATTTGTTCAGTTTCTTAATATTGAAAAAAAAATTTTATTCTTAAAATTATTGATTTTGACATTTGATTCATGCCTTGTCTCCAACTTTACGCAAGTGTGCAAAATTTCAGATCGATAGGATAAGTAGAAGTGTATTAAATTTCGATTCCCAGATTTGTAGCAGACAGACAAACAAGAAGTGAAGTTAAAGAGAAGTGTTGTAAATAGACGGAAACTGTATTTGGTGACATTATTTCTCTTGCTGAGCTGGTGCAGCGAACATATAGATAGCAAATAGAGTTCTTGTGATGGCGGGCAACTGCTCTCACCACAACACTTGGCAAGAGCACGGCACACTCCTAGCTGTATATTATCTACACGCATTTATTCGCTGGAACGCCTCGCGCAATATATCGCGTGGAGGATATCTATGCGTGCCTCATTTAATTAGTTCAGACACTCGTTTAAAAATTAATATGTCGTTGAAAAACTTCAATCATAAACAAATATCAAACCTTAATAAATAATTCACGATGACTGTTAAAGAGATTTTTTGATTCAGGGCACCTCCTAAGAATGGCCCTGAATCGTTATTGTAACTCACAGAGGCTCGTCACCTCAAGCATTACCCTGCGAGAAAAATTACCTCTTCTCTCGTGTCCGTCGCAAATGCGAAACTGAAAGGAAGTCAAAAACTACGATCAAGTTTCAGGAAACTTGAACTGCGAGTGAAGATTAATAATAGCTTGGAAATAGTTTCAGCTGCAAAACTAAAATATAAAATCCAGTCATACTTCGCATAAAAACTCAAATCCAAGCTCCGTTTGGATGATTTTATAAACGCAAGTATTCAGTAAAGTGGTTCTTGGAATGATGGCGAAACTCAACAGCACATCAAAACGGCCTCCATTCCTTACATTTGAATGTTGATCATACACGTCTAGTCTTGGGTCGCAATAAAATTTACATCTGCTCTCAGCGACGCGAAGCAACCGATGGTGGAACGAATGCACGAATTGAAGAAAATTAAACGTGATGTGCCAATCATACTGAATCTGAATTCAAAATTAAAAAAAGAGTCTGCTTTACTGCTACTGAAATCAGAAAAACGCGAAGAAAAAAACGAACTGGAGGTTATAAGTCACCAAAATCACTGTCAATGTCATAACAGAATTGGACGCCGTGAAGAATCACGAATTGATCTTCAAATTGTGTAAATAATGGAATAATTTAAAGGAAGAAACTTAACGCCGCCACTATAGACACGAAGAAAATGAACTGGTGATTGCAAAAAAATAGCTTGCAAAAAAAAGCATGCAAAAAATGACGGAATATTAGATTTGGAAAGAATCGAGACAAGATCGCTGAAAAGAACAGAGAGTAGCAGCAGTGTAAAATGCACAGAGTGTATGTGTGCGGCTCGATTTAAGACGCGCAGCATTGCATCAAATTGAATAATGAACACCGCAGAAGAAAGACTGAAACGGCCACGGCCGCACGCACAACACACGTCTTTTCGCAGCGGCGCCGATTTGTGTCTCAACATGTGCCTCTTGACGTAGAGAAAGTTCATTCTTTTATAGATGAGCTTGCCATGCATCAGAAGTATGAACAGCAATTGGCACGAAACGTACAATGCGTCCGAATATTTATTCTGCCCTCAGGAAGACGCGTAGCAAACGAAGAACATGGGAAGGCAGGAAGAAGTGTGGAGATAATTAATAGGGCAAGAATGTGGCAGGAAGTGTGTAGGCTGTCCCCCGGCCGGCGCCCTACACGGCACTCGCCGAGGCCGGGGCCAACCGTCAGTTCCACTTGGCCTTCTGCGCGTAGATGTCGGCGCGCAGGTTCTGGGCGAAGCAGATGCCGAGGATCTGAAAATAATTGAAATTTTATAGAAACAAACAACAGCATTTCTGAGAAGTGTACAAATTTTAAATAATACGCGAGTCAATAAACGTGCAGAAGATTGACGGTGTTAAAATCTGTGGTCTATATTGATAAATGATAAAAGAGCACAAGAACGCGTAATTCGCGGTGTGGAGGTCAGGTCTCGGGAAGTGCATCGCAACAACACAACTGCACTATTAACGACTAGCAACCTAAACAGAACTAATAGGCATGAGGAAGCTCGGGCGACTCAGAAACAGATGGGTCATAGATTGAACATTACATAAAATACATGAAAGAAACATCGGTACAAATGAGAGCAAACTATTATCAGGTTAAAAAGCACTTAATGGGACCGCAATCCGCAGGGATAAAATGCAAACAATAAAAAAAAACACAACAAAAAAATACTGGTGATCACACTCAGCATATGCATAGCATAAAACTATAATATTTTAATCTTTGAATTTAGGTGCGCTGAATTTGTGCAGAATTTAGATGCTACAGTCACTATATTTATGACGATTCGATGATGAAAAACTGCAGAGCGTTCACCTCAGCGGGAGCCTGGGCTCCTGCCGCTACCGTTGTGTGGGTTTTACCTGCATGAACGCCACCGCGACTGCCACACCCGCCACGAAGATAAGGTTGCCCTCAAGCCACTCCTCGCCCGCCACTAGACAACCGCGCTGCTGGATGATCTGGCTTCTTTCCTGTGGCTGGACAGCACCGTCAACCTTGACGACTTGAGCGGCACTGACTACCGGCACTAGTGCGGTAATGTCTTATAGCAGCAACAACTAACTTCTGCAGACCTTTAGATCAATTTTTTTCTCATATCAACGAGCTCACACATTAACAGGGAGCATTCATAAAAAATTCGAAGAGATTTTGACGAGGTCTGCAGTATGGTTAATTGAATACCACTACTCAGCACGAACACTAGAGCTACATTCACACTACAGTTCACCTGAAGCGGTAACCAGACACAGCAAAACATTTGCTCCAGTAACTCGTGCTAAACATACGAAACATTTTTTAGCTTAGATTCAGTTAGTGAGTCAAGAGATTAGTTTGGCTTGCAAATGGCGTTCATTTAGACTCGCAGAAATTTCGTAGGAAGTTACTCGTGCCAAGTGGTTTTTCCATCTTTTTTTTTTGCTTATATACCAAAGTTCGAGTCAAATAAACAAAATAGCGAGTCTCCAGTTCACTCAGCAAGAAGAGCAGGGAACAAAGTTGGAATTACCGAGTTAGTGGAACAGTTGCGTCTATTTGTAGTCAACCGCTTCTGGAAACTTAAGACTTGATAACTCATTATACAGATTCAAACTGTAAACAGTAATGCAGAACGGCATTCTCAGTCAAGCCAGGATTTTAAATTATTTAGAAATAATAGTATGTAGAACAAAGGTCTAGAAAAATTAATGACATACTGTTGGATGTTAGAAGTAGGCACGCTTACAGTGCCTCCTCAACAAAAGAAAGACATGCGAGGCAGTGCAATAAATGAACAGGTTTACTTCGAAAGACATTTGCTGGCAAGCGATGTTCTGGGCTGAGGAGTAACTAACACAAATTGGACTTCTTACCAAGTGCGAACGGTAATTATGGACGTGTTCATTATGTTTCTTCTCGTAGTTAAAAAACGATTTGATATCAAAATAAATTCTTAAGGACATCAACGTTAATAGGAATGAGAATCATGTCAATATTCGATTCAGGTGCAATCAACATAAATAGTAAGTGCATTTTACAAGGCGTTGTGAATAATGGCACATGAAATAAAAAAGAGTAATGGAGTACAAGGCACATGAAATATGAACAAGATATAAACTGCATGCATTGATACCGGAGTTCACGAGCTCGTGTTGATTTAAGCATGCTAGGTAACAGCCTAGTAGTACCTAAATAAAAGGCATGCTGATGATGCGACTGTATGCGAGAGTAACTGCATGAGGTGCCAGAACTGATAGCGTTACGTCGGGTTACCGAAGAGTTCGCTGCTGCTCCAGCGGACACATTATATAACCATTATATAAATTTAGCGAAGCACTAAATTGACTACAACAACCACACGGGCACTACAACAATCAAGCTATAAAGTTAAAGAGACAATTAGTTTAGTGTCAGGGTAGGAATGCAAAGCATGCGTGATTTCTCAGACATTTCCTGATATTGTAACTACTTTCCTCTCGACTATCTGCAGCTTGGCGCGACATCGCTATCGAATGCACGCTTGAAACTCACCGTCAGAAGCGTAAGCTCGTACTCCAGAACTCGTTAGAAACTACTGCCTTAACAACGTACCAGGGTTGGCGATTTTTTTGATTTTTTTTTTAAATCAAAAAAATCAAAAATCAATGATTTTTTTATTTTTTCATGATTTTTTTGATTTATTTGATTTTTTTGATTTTTTCAGCTTTTTTGTCTTTTTTGAGGTGTTATTTTTTATGTTGCAATTAGCNCTTGATGCCTCTGTACCAAAAACATTCAATTTATTGGAACCTAATACACACTAAAGGCAACAAGTTTATATACCAATTTGTCATTCATAGTACATTTATACTAAACCATGAATAACAATACCTCAATATAAATTAAAAACTGCCACTCAATATTTTTAAATATATGAAAAAATCAAAAAAATAAAAAAAATCGAAAAAAAATAAAAAAATCATGATTTTTTTATAAAAAAATCAAGTGATTTAATCATTTTGATTTAATCATTGCCAACCCTGCAACGTACTTTTCAGTCTAATTTTGAACCTCCTCCACTCGATTGTTGCCTTGAAATCGAGAAACGCTAAATTCATATGTCACCTTTTTCCGCCACTCTGCACTGGCCTCAATAGAAACAAAGTTATTGAGCATACGTACGCTATGAACATTAATTAGACTTATAGATGATTGCGAATAGATCGTTAAGATCACCTGCAGGATGGCCACGCCCACAGCCACGCCCGCTACAGGCACGAGGTTGTTCTCTATCCAGTCCTCGCCGGCGCGCAGGCAGCCGCGCTCGTATATGACATCAGACCGCGCGCCTCCCTGTCACCGCCACGCAGCGTACGGGGTTAGCCATGAACCAAGAGAACCAACACATACACGGTTTTAGCGGCTAAACAAGCCGGGGTTAGTTGTACACCCAGTAATGCGTGCACCAGCCCCACATTGCCCCGGGGTTAGTTGTACACCCAGTAATGCGTGCGCCAGCCCGTGGCAATGAACACATTGAAAAGAACCATGAAGAGGAGTAACCCTGTTACAAGGAAAAGTGAATGCACCATAATCTTAAGCAGAATACAACTCATCTAAAGTTTTTTCCATATTTGAGTTGAAAATCTTTGAGCAATAAACCAAAGAGACCAATATAAGAGTTTACGCACAGTGCACTATAAAAGAAGCTTGACCAACTTGATTGAGTATTTCCTTACTTCTTTACACTTCAATACTAGGGAATTCTTATATATAATTTGTAGTAGGTTTTGTTTCACAACTCAATTATTGCATTGACTATAAAGAGTGCAGGGTGGATCCCGCAGTTCCCGATACATGAACAGAAGCAGATCAAACTAAAATAAATAAGTGCAGAAACCGATAATTAGGTCGCAATTTCAGATATAATCTCCACATTTTTATTGAAAGAAAACAATTCAGAATGTCGCTGACTTTCCCAAGAACAGTTTAGGAAGAGAGTCCTATTTACTTCGAGGCATAGCTATAAACATATACACCTCAATGCAGTAACATAATAATGTCACCTTCGCCTTAGAACCTATAGAGGAAGCAAGGGTTAATTACAGAGCACAAATAACAGAACCAGAGCGTTCACCTCACACACTCCAAACATACACCACAAACACTAAGGACATACACCTCACACACTATATACCTTTTACACTCCATACACCTCACACACTCAGAAAATACACCTCACATATTCCGAAAATCACAAGTGAAAGCCTAAACATGATTTTAGGTTTAGAACGAGAAGCATCCACGTTTTTTATCTGCCAACAAATTTCGTAAAGATTAAACGAATTATTCAAAGAATGCATATATAAAATAAATATAACGTCACAAGATCTGTGCTGAGGCGCTACATCAACATTTACTCTATTAAAAAAGCTAGCCTCTTTTATTTGTTGCTATCATTCACTGCAATGTATTCCACAATCGCGACCGCGCACAAAATAATCGCAGTAATTAAGCAACAGCATTTCACCGAGTGATAAATACAATGTATAGAATGAGTACTTACGTAGTCCTGCTTCCGGACGTCGTAGCCGCATTGCTTGTTCTTGATGATCTCCTGCAGTGAATAATAAAGCGCTGTATAGCATCGCGATTCAGTACAACAATAAAAGAAAATCAATGAGAATGCAAACTATACTGAATAATAAAGTAGGGCGTACAGAGAGTGATGGTTCACATCAACTTGTTAAGTGCCAGTGGTCATTCACTGGCATTCACTACGTCACAAAACTGTGTGGTCGCTCGTCCACAAGGTAATAATGCTTATAAATGTCGTAAACATACAACAAACAATGCCAACGAGTGAGCCCGCAATAAAGTTATATGAACTATAACGATTAGTCTATACTACATTAAACGCTATCATGTTTGCACGTTACTGATGAATAGGATTTTTGACTAGCCCAGCTCCTACTGAAGAAGTTTTACTACAACTAACAGATACAAATGATAGGCAACAAGTTGCAAGTTTCTACGTGCTCATCTGTAGATCAAATATTCTCATATAAGTAATTGATGCTGGTAATAAAAAGCTACTTGGGATAGACAATTCTTGAGCTGCCATAAAACTCCATTCAATATCAAATGTTTTATATCAATACCAAACTTTTTAATAACCTCCATTTGCGACACGATCAAAAGATCCAAAGATTTCTTGTCTTGCTACCACATTACTTCAAATATATCTACAGAAAACAACATTCCAATAAATAATAGCAAGGTTCTTCACTGCCTAAGCTCATGCATCACACCTGGGGCTTGAGTTTACAGCAGCTGAAGGGAACCCCACACGCCTCCCTGCTGCCCACGGCTTCACTGGAGCAGTTGAAGTACACATTGCGGTCCCAGTCGTTGGGGCCTTCAATACCGCAGCACTCCAGCTGCACAAGAAGCTTTGCTTAGTTACGGATAAATAGATCATGTGTCCCAGTCAGGTCACTAGACTCTGCAGGATATATTGAGAAAATTAGTATACAGTCATTTGCATTTATAGCACTTGAGTATTTTTTCCTAATACAGAAGACTCAGCATCCCATACAGTGTACGGCATGATGTGTGATGCTCACCAATTTCTCCTGTACCCTGCCTGTTAGCATGACGAGCAATACTCACCCATTTCTCCTGTACCCTGCCTGTTAGCATGACGAGCAATTCTCACCCATTTCTCCTGTACCCTGCCTGTTAGCATGACGAGCAATGCTCACCCATTTCTCCTGTATCCAGTCAATGAGGTTCTGTTGGTCAGGGTCGTCTCGGTAATGTACAATGAAAGCCTGGAATCCATTAGTGGCCTGTGCCTTGATCTGCAATGAAAACAGAAATGAAAGTGACAAACCCCATGCAGGAAACGCTCGTGTATAAAATAATGTTTGCAACTTCGAATTTCGTAACTGAACATTGTTCTGATTGGTGAGTACATTCTAATTCTACAGAAAACTTCAAAATCCTTTGAGTTGTTTGGGGATCATGACAAAATATTATACCTGCTGACAAGCTCATTGACTTTTTTCAGTTCAAAAATATCAACATTATTACTCACCCAATCTTTGAAAATAAATCCCAAAATTCCAGCAGTCATTTCCAACAGGAGAAGAATGGCCAAGAAGATGGCATACTGCAAAAAGAAATCAATTCGGCATCCTAAATATTTATAAGTTACAAATGGTTGTCAGTACACAAGTGTGGATGTCATGCAGCACTAGTGAATTTCAAGAATACCAAATTTATTCAGCATCTTTTTGGAGCTATGATTAAAAATTGCACTATAAATAAGGAAAGCAAATTTATGAGTGCATTGACAGTATGAATTAGATTCGATGGTGAGAAAAAAACTAAAATTAGTCTTGCATTTTAATTTAGACGGAAATTTCAAGGGTGACCCCAGAGAACTGTCAAATGCAAGTTTCATTTTGCAATGACACATACATCATAATGTGACTCCTGTCTCAGACAATTCAAGGATCTAATGGCATGGAACAGCAACACACATTCTATACATAGCCAAGTGAAATACATGGAACTAATGGATTCTTTCAAAAGGAAAACACAACAGAAATAATACCATGCTCTGTAGAAGAAATTAAGATGATTGTACAAATGAGGAGCTTAGAATGCTTTAAACAACTTACACAGGCCAGCAGACACGTGTTCTCTCTTAGTGCTCCCACACAGCCTGTGAAGCCTATAGTGAATGTGATGAGACCTGGAAAAACAATCATGGTTAAATAAATCAAGTTTCAACAAATAGAAGAATAAATCTCTAAATTGTCCACACTAGGTTGAGCAAATAAATTGGGTGTTTAATGAACAGCAAATCTTGTGATGTATTAAAGGACATTAGGAATAAAAACTGAGAAAGAGCACAGTCTGAGATATTGCCAAATGTGACATCAACAAAATTAGATTTGTAAATGTTGTCAGTGTAAGTAAAATACATTAGCACATGTTTCCATTATTGTATTATTTTATTCAAGTGCTTTAATTTCTTCAACCAGGCAACCAGGATAGAATATACTCTTAAAGATTCTAATCAGCAAAGGAAGAGATAGTATGTATGTTGAATAAAATTATTTGGTCAAAAAAATTAATGTAATGTCATTGTAATTTCTATCTGTTGTCATGAAAGCACCTCAATACCTTAGAACCAAGCAATGAAGTTGCTGCATTAAACGTTCCACCTTTCTAATCAATTGCTGAATTCAATAAGATATTTATAGACCTGTAACTATGAGGACAAAAGCTGGGTCCAGGGCAATATTGGTGAGTCGGCTGAGGTTGTTGAATGTGTCCTTCTCAGTCCAAGCCCAAACACCAATGCCTAGGATGTTCAAGCCCAGCAACTGAAAACATACAAATTTTGATGATAAGAAAAATACCACTCTTGAGTGATCATACATTTCAATTCATTTAACAAACATTTCCTACAAATATCTATGTAACATGTACCATGCATCAAAATGGCACTTGCTCATATATTGGCAGTTTAAATGAGGAGCAAGAGTCATATAACATAACCAGCCTATGTTGCTCAAAAGAAAAATTATTAAAAATAAAAAATTATTCCAAAATTATTTAGAAATCTCAATAAAAAATTATTCATTTTACATACATAACATGACATACTGAAAAACTAGTTATTTTGTTTGGAATAGTTTTGATGATGAAGAAGGACTAACCAAAGAAGAAGAAGAAAATTATGTAAATAAATTTAAAATATCATACTTAAATTGAATCTGATAAAGACACAAGGATGCTGGGTCTTTTTTTTTTGAATGAATTAAATTAGGATTTTTCTAATAGAGTTTGAAATTTCAACCTGTTAAACATGTCAATAAGTGGATGTGACAGATGATACCTACCTAAAATAGAAGATAAATTTAGTGATTACTAGTAAGCCTTATTAGGAAGACTTTTGATACAGGTAGTGCAAAATATATGGGAAAATACAATTGTTGGCAACATAGAATGAAATTTGTAAAAAATTTGGGACAATGAAAGTTTTGCCATCTTTGTTTCTTATATTTTCTTGCACAGCAATGATTTGTTGTGAAGTGTTGCTATATAAAGTAAGTGAAAATTAATGACACTTTAAAAATGATAATTATTATTTTAGCATGCGCTACTAATTTCATTATTTTACATTCAGTGATATTTATTTTGCACATGGTCACAAATATGTCAATGTCAAAATTTTATACAACACTGACCATTCCAGGCTGCTTTGGTGTCAGCTATAGACAAAAATTTGTTCACTATGTTAACAATGGTATATTATTGATGATCTTGCATTTTCTGGTTAGCTTTGTTCTCAGTTTTCTTATTCATAGTACAATATTACCAGTATACCGTAAAATGGGGTAACTTAGACCGGTGGGGTAACTTAGACCACTTTTCGTTTTTTTAACAAAAACCCCCACAACTCAAAAACTATTTGACATAGAAAAATTTTGTTGATGGGCATGAAAGGCCTAATACTGAGGCCACATAACACAATAGAAAGATTCAAAAAGTTTGCATATCTAATAGGTTAAAAATCCAGTCAATATTACCCCATCAGGGCTGCCATTAGGTAGTCACATTTCCCTCATTATGGGGCGGCGCCCCTCATTTGCAAACTATGACACTTTCCTCAAGTTTGTCATTTGCATATGTAACTAGAAGAGTTCTACTACAATGCACCAAAACCTGGAGTTATTTAGAATTATTTTACCAAAAAATATAATTGATTTTACCACCCGGTCTAAGTTACCCCACGAGCTGGGGTAACAAAGACCATCACTTTTTTTGAAATTACATAAAGACTATGAAAGGCAGGAGCCAGCAATTTATGGTGAGTGAAGCTAGAGTATAGACCTGTATTTTGCATGTTTCAATTCAAGTTTAATTTAGCTAGTAAAAAAATTGCATCATTTATAAAAAAAAAGTGGTCAAGTTACCCCATTTTACGGTACCAATTATTAATAATGAATGTTCAGGGAGACAAGATGCATAACACATGTTTCCGACCTGTTCACACTTGGTTTGTCTCAGGGCATGTAGTAGATGGTGCTGTTTGTCATTCAAAACAGTTGTGTCTTGCAAGCCAATTGGTACAGTTTTAGCTCGCGCCTTGAGAGTGGCAGCTATTAACTACTGATCATGTTTACAGCTTTTGTCTTGTAGTGTGCCCTCTCCTTGTCACTGTGTAGGGTGTCTATTTTAAATTGCCTTACTTTGTCAAAATATGTGATATGAGATCATAGCGCTAAACTGGAAAAAATTACTTTTATTGATATTTAGAATGACTGGCATTGACTGCTCCAATAAGTTAGTGGCTGGCATTCCATCCTAGGTGATCATTCTAGACAATAGGGGCATGAAAGTCTGGTCACAACTATGTACACATATTTACCTACCTATATAATTTGGACTGCTATAGCAATAGGTACATTTTGAGCAATTTATCTACCATAGTTTGCATTCTTGCTAGTCTCCTTATATGTAAATATTTCATCATTCAGCTTAATGAATGAGAATATAAGATTGTAATGGGACACTAGCATGGCTAAATCTTACTCCAGTTTCTGATCACACTTTGTATGCAATGAAAATTGTATTAATTTAGTTCATATTGCAGTCTCATGCATGCACATTTATTTTGTATATTATACAACCATTGAAGTGGTGTATAAACTTAATTACAAGTTTAACATGTATGTAACATACCAAACAAAAGGTGTAGAATGTATCAAAATTTTGAGTAAAGAAATAGAGCCTGTGTCCCAACATCAAATTTGTCCCTTGATAAACTATCACCTTTCTGATCCAACTGAAAATTTCACTTTTATGACAGACATACTAATTGTATTTACAAGGGAATAGAGCATTAGCATACAATGATGTATTTATGAGGGATATCTATATCTTATAACAGAATTGATTAATTTTCCTGAAATTCACTTTATTCCTTACAATGAACAATCTAGAAATATTTGGTATATTTTGCTAATTTTGGTGCATGTAGTATGTTTTGGCATATCCTGGTACCTTTAGCACATACTGCCTTTACAGCATACTTCATAGTAATACATTGATTGATGGCTCAACACAGCTGATAGCCTGATACGGTATTTGATTGACAACTGTTGATATTTGATTGACAATTTGATGAACATTCTCTTGTCCTTTAAAATCATGGAGATGTGGCCATGCTACATCTGGTGACCAGATCCAGTTGATTGCTACTCGGATACTCCTTGCTAGCTTGCTTGCAGCTTCAAGCTTTGTACCAATTTAGTTTTCTGGATTGGGTGAGAGAGTTCAGTTATGATTAAATTAATTTTTGAGGCATTCTGCAATGAGGGGCAGAATTAAATAATATAGAGCTAAAAATTAAAATAATTAGTATATAAATTATTTCATATGTGATTTTTTTGAAGATCACAAGAAAAATGTATAAATTGTCATAATTTTCAACAAAGGTATTGGTCAAATTAAAATTGGGTCTGGTGTGATATATATCTATCATTCACACCATGACAAGTTTTCCTGCCCCTTCTGCTTCTGGAGCTGCAAGCCTACAAGATTAGGGCATGAAAGTCTGAGAGGATTGATAATAAAATTAGACAATTGGGCTGCTGGCTGCAATATTCCAAATACATAAAAAATGTATTGCTTTGGAAGTTTGGAGCTAGGCTATAAGATTTCATTCATATGCAAGAAAATTCTAATCTAGTTTGGAGCTCTGCCTAATTTGTTACTTAGGGATTTAGCCAATTAGGAAAGACATGCAAAACTTTTCTAAAATTGCAGGTAAAAATATTATAAATTTGTTAAAATCATTAGCCTTTAGGTACACAAAAATAGTGTGTTTTTCTCATTTCTTACCAATAAAATTAGAAAAAGAGCCATAAGAATGGGTGAAATGAGCCAGATGCTCAGATTCACAGCCTTTTTTTCCAATCCTTCCCAATTTTCCAGCATTCCAATTAAGAGTCAATGGCAGCTGGCTTAATGATGAAATAATAATGAATAATGATGGGAAGGTCCAGCTCCAGGTTCTCAGTTTTACCATTCAATATTAAACGTTCAACTTGTCATTTGAACCCTCTCTAAGATTCCAACCTGACGGGCGGCATGTTGCCACGAGTTAATTAACAGGTTCATTGCTTTGTAAATTATAGTTGCTTCCCAAACTCCCGATGCACTAGGCTCTGGCAGACTGGCACGACCGCAGAACGACTGCTCTGCAGGTTGTAAAAATCAGGGCATTACAAATGAAAGGCTAGAACGATCAGTCGATCACTCACCCAAAAAATTACGTTGAAACCGAAAATAACATATTTGAGGCAACAGCTCACTTCACTCTGGTCTCTTCTATAACGCTTCATTGGCATTGTGATAATTGACCGAGCGAAGAGACAAAAGAGACCCAGCTGTTGCTGGAGGAAGTGGGAGCCTGACAACAACAACACGATGCCAGGTGATCTTTTTGAAACTATTTCAGACGAAGCAAAATTATTTTAATGAAGCAGGTGCTAAAAATTTTATCAATGGAACTCATACAGGATTTTTGAATATTTTAACATTCTTAATTGTTTATTTTCATCATGTCAAATAATTTCTTTATAAAATTACACGAAAAGCTAAAGATGGTCCGCTTGGCTCCTCGACATGATGGGTTATAGCAGAGCCCTACAGTTAATAGTTTTTCATAATGTTTTCAATAAAATAAATGTGATTAATTAGTACAACCTTCCACCTTTATTCAACTCCGGACAAACGACAACTTGGCGGACCACACGCTTGCGACAATGATGAGTAACCATATATTAAGAAGATCCCCCCCCCAAAAAAAAAGACGAAATGACCACAAAAGGTGAAGACTGCGCCAAGGTAGAGACCAAGCCAAAGCCACACTGTTGTGGAGATCACATGAGGGTGGATACGACGCTAGGGTGGGGACCTCACGAGAATGAAAACCACTTTAAAGATAAAATGGGGCAGGGTGGCCCAGTGGTTAAAGTTCAGATAAGTGGGCAGGGTGGACCAGTGGCTAAAGTTCAGTACCAAGATTAGAACAGAAAGGTGCAGGTTCGACCCCAACTCCCAACTGCGCGCCAGTTTCTGGTCGGAATCGGCAAGGAGGCTGGGCGGTTACGCAAAGCAAAATAGTGGAAGCAGTGACTTGCGAGTTGGAGACCGCAACAAGCTGTAGATTTTCTGCGATGTTAAGAATCGGCAACAGGCCTAGGGCTTAATAAACGCTGAAACCGCTAAATGATATAAATTAAGACAGCAAGCCTGGGTGGATTCATTGCCAGGAAAGAGGTCATGCCAAAGAGAGTAACTAATCAGAGAAAGGGCCACAACAATGAGACCAAGCCACGAGGACGATCACAATAGGGAGCGGCCCAGTGGTTAAAGTTCAGAGTACCAAGATTGGCGCAGAGAGGTGCGGGTTCGCTCCCAGCTCTGTGCGCCAGTTTCTGGTCAGAATCGGCAAAGAGGCCGGGCAGTAAAGCAGAATTTGAATCAGTGAGTTGTGAGTTCGAGACCGCAACAAGCTGTGGATGTTCTGCGGTGTTAAGAATCGGCGCCAAGCCCATGGCCTAATAAACGCTGAAACCACTATTATTAATATTACTAATTACAAATCACACCGACAGGGGCACTAAACCATACTATTGGGGCATCAACCACGACAGGGGGCATCGAAATGTGCCGTACGTTCACAGGAGGAGGAAGATATTAGCGCATAGAATCTTGAATACACGAGCACCTTCCTAGATAATTTGAAAGTTTATCGGAAGAACCTGTCACCAAGCAGTGAAGTGACTTACGTGATTTCAATAAGAAAATACCAATACCTATACATAATTTGCTCTCATGTTCGGCTCATAGTCTTACACCCATAAACCCTATTAAGAATGCGATCCCTAAACTTCTATATGCGAAGGACAATGTTGTACAGTGCGAGCTGTTGGATTTGCTTGCAGAACGGTCGTAACAAAGCATTCAAAAAATTTCGTTTGCGTCATCACACTACCCTCAATCGGTCGACTCAAGGTTCCCTTGAATGATTCAGCAATCTAGCGTAGATAATGCGACTTACAACTACTGTCTTCATGTCGGACACGTGTGTCTCAAATGCAATGAAAAATGCGGGGCTTTTTAAAATTAAAGATACATTGCTGAACTATGCATCATCTACAAGTCGTTACATTGCATGCTATGATATTAGTGATTATGTAATTGAGAACTTTTAACAGTCATCCGATACCGAACTATAAGCTTGTAATCGCAGAAATAATTTTAATGTGAATTCATTGATTGTTATAATAATAAAATAATATTAGCGGTTTCAGCGTTCATTAGGCCGTAGGCCTGTCGCCGATTCTTAACATCGCAGAACATTCACAGCTTGTTGCGGTCTCAAACACGCAACTCACTGCTCCAATTCTGCTTTGCTTAACCGAAGGCCTCCTCGCCGATTCTGACCAGAAACTGGCGCACAGAGCTGGGATCGAACCCGCGCCTCTCTGCTCCAATCTTGGTACTCTGAACTTTAACCCCCGGGGCACCCAGTATTTATGCCTATAACATTATCAGATTTTAGTGATGGCCAAAATACTGCTGTTGGACCTTAAATAAAGAGTAAAACAATACAAAGTAAATAAAATGACCAGTAGTTAAAAATGCAAAGTGTATTTTAAGTTTAAGATAAATTTTACCATTTAAAGTCTAGATTTTTATTTCAGTGATTGTTGAAAAAGTCTAGAAGTTACCGATGATAGTTCATTTTGCACAACCATAGGTGGAGTCATTTACTGATCTTAGGTTGGGGATAGAATTACTGGAGCATATAGGCCATAGTCCCATGTGCCTACTGCTAATTGATTGTTTGAAGATAGCACAATGTAGTGAATAAGTCTTAATTTTCTCCACTTCACTCGTCAGGAATACTGTCACACTTTGTAGATACTTCAACCGTTAATGTTTCTCAAATTTCATGTAGTCCAACGTAGCTCTACCCATTATTAGAATCCCCAATAGCCTCGCTTGATGTTTCCAGTCGAAGAATGAACATCGCTAATCCATGTATGACGGTATACATATCGCGGCTGTGTTTCCGGTTACACAAACAAGTCAAAACAGTTTATTCAATACAGTAAAAAATTTTATTTGTAGCAGTTTGATGATTAAAGGGGTCGCGCGAATGCAAACTTTTTTAAGATTATTTAATGATGTGTGGCTTGACGAGGCCTCCCTAAGTGTTGCAAATGATCGTGTCACTGAGTGTACGCATGAACAAAGAGCGACATTCTGGGGTTGGGTATGAGTGTTCAACTAATCGTTAAAATTGCATTTCCAAGTCAATATAGATCAGCTTTGTAATCCAATGCACTGATACAGAAGAAAAGAACCAATTCATGCAATAAAAGCGTCATTTTAACAGAAATTCTAATTTCTTAAAACAAGATTTTTAATAAATATTTTTTTTTATAAAATTTTGCATAAATCATTCATGAATATAGAATAACTCTCTGTAAATGTAAAAATACTTGTTGCGATTAATTTTGATGTCTATGAATTCATTATTACTTATTCAAATAATGTTGGCATTTCAATGTTACAAATTTTAAATTAGCTAGCATTGCTATGTTGAATGATACCCGTCATTCAGTCCCTAAACAAATTTGAACAGTACGAGTCAAACGTTGACTTGTGTTACTGCCATTGCCAGCCAATCACTTCGCACTTCAGGGGGCAAGTCTGTGGTTTGGTGCTGTTAATTTTAAAGGACCCAGACGTTTCAATTACTGTTAAAGTTCAATTACTGCTAATTTAAAGGACCCATACGTTGTTAGCTCGAGTGACGCGACGGTTTATATTTGGTCAGATAGCAAACTCATTGTTACAGTGATGACATTAGACAATTTTCGGGCAGGATTTGCATGTATTGGAAGCGTCAATGATATGGAAATATAATTAAGCTGGTCGTAAATAAGAGTCATGCGTTAGGATTATAACGGAGACATAATCGTTAGCTTGTTATAAAATATGAAGAAAATAAAATCGTGCTTGTTATAAAATATGAAGAAAATAAAATCGTAAACAACACAATTCATTTATAAATTTTTCGTTTGCTATCATTGTAACAATTATTTAAATGCAAATAATTGAATTAAATTAACTATAATGTAGCATATATTATATTTCATACACACAAGACGCTGTGCAATCATCAGAGCATTCATGTCGATGTGGAAATTTTCATTGTTAGAAATTCCTTACATACGGTTTGGGAATTTTCTTTAATTGCATGCCTTTCGTTCCTGTAAAAAGTTTTAAAATGACCAAAAGTAGCCCGTAACAATAATAAAGCAATATTTGGAGGTCGTTTCTGCACAGCTTTTTGGCAGAATTTTTACAGCACAGCTTGACAATGTGGTAAGGCGATGCCACTTGTATTGTGTACAGACAGTACAGTACACAACATAGTAGCTGCATGAGCATCTTTACAACCTGTGTTGGGGCGACGATCACCGGCTGAGAGACTAAGTAAACATAAGGCAATTGATGAATGTGGAGGCGAGGAGCTAGTTGGGGTGAGCCCCAAGGGGGTTGAAAGAAGGGGATAAATTCCTCAATACTCCTGTTTTATTTACCTCTTGGCTGAAATTGGCTGAATAAATCGCAAGTATTATTACAGGGATGAGACAATATTTGCACTGGATTTGTCCGTTTGTTTGTTAACCTGTTGACAGGGTATGATTGAGTGAACAAGATATAGCGTACCTATTTGAGGGTATGAGGGTACCTTCACCCTCATCCCCTCGTCGGCTGTGAGGCCAACACCACTGAACGTTGTTTACAATTGTAGCGGGTAGGGGAGGGGATCAGGGTGGGTTTGGAGGGGGTAAAAGAAGGCGTTCGATTCCTCTAGCCTTTTATTTCTTGACCACGTCACACACTGTTCATTGTTCTGAACAGTGAGGAAGTATTCCCAACCCTCAAAAAATAATATGATATCAATGAACAGACTAAATCAGTGCCATGAATGACATAAAACAAAGGTTTCAGGAAAGACAATGAGACTGTATTTTGTAGTTGGAGCGTCCGTGAACGGCCCTCTTAAAGGAACATTCTTACTAAAGAAAAATAAAAATAAGGACGAAAATCAGCCCAATGATATTTTGCAATTTAAAAGTTTTGCTGAAAATAGCTTATAGTGCGAAAATTGTTCGATGATAAAGGATGCTGGTAATTAATAAGCTCTCGAAGTTAGAGTAAATTTGAAGTTGAGTAAACGCAAGAAAGGTCTCCACGAATTAATATGTATGGGCAGTATCTACCACACTTTCAAAGGTCTTATTAGCAAAATCTTGGATTCGTAATTGCAGTAGGTTACGATCGCCACAAAAGAAACTGCCCACATTTTTAACCATTTATTGAACACTTGCACCGTTCATCTACCCGAGTCTCCCACGTACGAAACACTTCTGTGGTCCGAGGACCACCATGGAGTCGGCCTTCAACCACGAAGATACTCTTCTAAGCCTGTACGCAGTCAAATCTTTAGTTGTGCATATACCTTTAATATGAAGGTGAAAAATATTTTTTTCATATTTGAAACGAGAGTCAAATTGGAATTCTATGTTCTATGTAGCTAAGGTTTGGACAGTTTTCTTTAATTAACATATTTTAGCATCATAAAAATTACCGCGATCCAGGTTAACGTGATTCTGGATAAATATATTTTAATACTACAAAGACTATCGATTCCAGGCAAAGCCTGCTTAATCTGTTAGTTGTCGCCAGAAACAACGCGCAAACTAAAATTTGCAGTAGGCTCGATAAGGTGTATGATGATGCAACTCAACTCGTTACAAATAAGAAAATGAACTCTGGCTATGCAGCTCTGACCGAGAGACGATCAGAGAAGCCGCTTGCGCCACAATGTCACGAAGCACATAACTCGATGCGGAATACTGAAAGTTTGGCATCAAACTAGCTGATAAAGATCAGAAAAAATACTGTAGGATTTTGAATTTCAAATAAATAATTTTTTGGTGATAATTTTATTGATGTAAAATAATTAAGTTACTTTTGAGCGCAATTTATTAATCGATGTATAAAGCTTCGTTTCTAAGTTTGACTGGAGGTTCGTTTTATGCTTCAACTGAGTAGGCAAGTACAAGCTATGAGCGGTTCGTGGAAGCGAGAGAAATGTGCTGACGCAGCCGAGAGAGGAGCGTGTGATGAGAGTTTCAATCTCCTGAAGTTATTTATGAGTGTGCAGGAGAACATCCTGTTTGCACTGATGCACGACTGAAGTGATACATTTCCAATGATGATCGTCAGTTAAATGGTTTTTACGGCAACATTCCAGAAGCCTCAAAGAGATGAGAGACAATTTCCTCAACGCTCCAAGGAAAGAGTCAAGTTTAATTGTGACAGTGTAATTATATGTGAATAAATAATTAAGCAGCAGTTATTTGTCGTTTCTTAGATCAAGTTATGACGGAAACATGTATGTGTTCATGTAGTGAAAAAAGGCGTTCAGAAAACCATGCGATACTGGGTAGTTTTACAAAGACTAAAGACTGCGTGTATCTGCATGCGATGTGACCGCTGGGCAGCGTAAATGAGAGTGTGGCCACTCAACAGCGTAAATAAGAGTGTGACCGCTGAGCATCCCATTGATCAGGTATCCCCATTGATCAGGTATCCCCATTGATCAGGTATCCCCCATTGATCAGGTATTCCCATTGATCAGGTATCCCCATTGATGTGTATCGCCGTTGATCAGGTATCCCCATTGATCAGGTATCCCCATTGATCAGGTATTCCCATTGATCAGGTATCCCCATTGATCAGGTATCCCCATTGATCAGACTTCCCCATTGATCAGGTATCCCATTAACCAGGTATCTCCATTGATCAGGTATCTCCATTGATCAGGTATCCCCATTGATCAGGTATCCCCATTGATCAGACTTCCCCATTGATCAGGTATCCCATTGACCAGGTATCCCCATTGATCAGGTATCCCATTGACCAGGTATCTCCATTGATCAGGTATCTCCATTGATCAGGTATCTCCATTGATCAGGTATCCCCATTGATCAGGCATAAACCCAAGTTACAGAATCAAGTTTGTATTTAGCCAAAGAGACTTTAGGCTCACAAACATCGTTTCATAGTAAGGTAATATAACAAGCCTAAACTATCATACAATTTGTTTCTAATGCTTGTTGATTGCATAATATCTTCTTAAAATTATTCTGACGCTTTGTTTGTATAATTGTTATTTCGCTGATAAGCTTTGTTTAGAGGTGATTTCAGGTTCTTGACAGTGATGTCTTCGTGTCTTGTGTGATGTCTTTGTACAGTAGTACAGTGATGTCTTTATGTATAAGAGGATATCATCATAAATCGTACCAGATTGCATCATCATAACTCGTACAACGCACACCACGCCTTGCCAAGTGAAGCTCATATGAAGCCAGGGACTGCAAGCAGGCGAGTGGCGACTGGCGACTAGCAGGCTCCAGTGCTGCCAGCGCTAGGTTTATAAACTCAGATATAGGTTTTTGAGCTTCCAGCTAGGTTTCTAGGTTTTTAATTTACAAACTGATCTATATCTAAGTTTTTTGAGAATAATGCACTGAAAGCGCAAATCAATCAATAATTATTGCCAAGAAAGTGGAAATACTACTTTTTATCATTTCTAATACATGTTCGTACAAATTCGTACAGAACTCGTACAGTTCGCATGCGTGTCGGTGAAATATTTAGAGGCAGTTCAATTCACTACCCAGTCGACTGAGCATGTAATTTCAGTTGTATTGGAGCAGTGGGATGCTCTGATTCTTTACTATGAGTCGCAGGCAAAAAATTAACAATTTGATAGAGCTCGTATAATTTATGATTTATTAATTAGTCGCGGCAAGAAACATATGCTATGTTTAGTTCAATATGTTCTGAAGAAAGTTAATGCACTCAACTTGGAATTTCAATCTGAACATTTTAGGTTGCATGTCCTTCACTTGATGGTATCTGCTGAATATAAAAATGTATTAAGCTTTTTCATTAAGGAAGAATGCTTGACAAAATCAAAACTGTGTGACTGTGATATAGATCCAAGTTATAGCAAACCATTCAAACCTCTTGAAGATATATTGCTTAGTGGTAGAACAATGGCAGTGTTGGAGCAAGAGCCCTTGGCTAATGATGACATTCGCGGAAAATTCAGAAAAGACTGTTTGAACTTCTTGGCAGCATTGTGTGTACAAATCAAACACAGATTTTCATTTGATGATAGAACTAGAAGCATTATTGCACAACTTAGCATTTAAACCCACAAGCTTTTCTGCAATTATTCACCTTTTTCCATTGCAACATTAGCGGCACAGTTCAAAAACATAGAGCCCGAAGATAAATTAAATGATCTTGACGATGATTACCGAAGCTTCAAAGTAACCAAGGACTTACACCTCACAGAGAGCAGCAGAAATGTTACCATTCCGACCCAAATTAGAAATTTCATCAAAATTTATCACAAATTTGACAGTTCTTCCGCATTCATCAGCCTGCGTCGAGAGAATTTTCTCTCAAGTTAATATCGTGAATACTTCAAAAACAAACTCTTTGAAAGCCACAACTCCCCGAGACCGAATCCTTGCCAAACGAAAGTGGACGAAACGTGGTCAGTCTTGCATAACATGGGAGCCAGAAAGAGATATTATATACAGCCATATACTTGTATACAGGATATATAAAAGTGGATTAATGGATGCAAGACATGCTGATGTTTACGAGGGGGATGAGGATGAATTGTAATTGTGATCTTTTAAATGACTGTTCAAAAAATTGAAAAGATGTTAAATTGTAATTTATGCTCATCCCTATATATCCATACTCATTCCTATGTGAACAACAAGGATTTATTACTATGAATTATATATTAGGATGATGCTAGGTTTTTTCTGAGGTATAATCTAGGTTTTTAAAAAAATAGTCGCTGGCAGCACTGCGTACTGCGTGAGTGCTTACTGCGTGTGCGTAGCACTCATTACGAAGCCGGCTCTCACACTGAGAGGTGGGTGCCTCGCTGCTGTCTGTTACCGTGAGCGTGATGACTGTTTCAATTGACAGCTTTTTTCGTTCAATGCTTTGAAGACCTTGACAACAGAGCTTATATGTCAGTTGAGGCTTCTTCTTATATTTTATAATTACATTTGCGCATTCATGTTTTAATACCAAAATGTATTTTCGAAACAATTTCAATGAGTCAAAATTTCGCTAACAATAATAAATGTTAATAATTTAACAATTTGTGAATTTGATTGCCTCATTATTATGTACGTGCTACTTATAAGCGTCATTCCTCTTCGTTTTTCGAGCGGTGGCAGATCATTTGTTTAACGATGATCTCTGATACGTATGGAAATAGTAAATTTATCAATTGAATTTAAATGAGAATTATTTATCAAATCGATTAAGTTAAAATTTTTCGACATTTGATCCGCCTCGAGTGTCATTTCAGACCAGATGGCCAGGCATCTACTACAGGTGTCATGGCATTTTAAGCCATGATGCCCTCCACTCTTTTTATCCCATCCTTATTTTTATTTTCACCTGAATCTTGATAAAATGCACTAAAACGGTTTTGGATGTAAATTTTTGATAGCGATAAGAAATCGTTAACAGTACAGTGGGCCAAGGCTTGCTGGCTTTAATTTGAAAGATTAGCCTCTGATTTTCTTCCTCGTCACTTAATCAGCAAGTGGTAGATCAGAAGCAATTATGAACATTTTTATACGGGGTAATGATTTTCATTACCCCGTAAAAAATACAGGGTAAAAATTTTTCATTGTGTAAAATGGCTTAAGAAAATGACTTTAGATTGGAATTATCTTCATTTATGATAATTTTTTCAGGTTCGTATACTAGCAACGAAACTCACATCGATATGGCATCGAGCAGTGATAAGAAGGTAAGGGATACTCTCTCGTTGCCTAGAGTAGAATATTATGGTTGTAGTTCTGCGTAGTTAAAAATAGAAAAAATTCGCTCTTTTCGAAATTTGAAAATGATAAAAGGCTAGAGATTTTTGTGAACCCAATCGCTCATCTGCTTAGGTAAGGCATTCTGTTGCAGTGGTGGAGCTTGAAAACCAAGTTCAAGATTTCCCTACCAAGATTCCATGCGTAAGTCATCGAATTGCCTCTCTGTTTAAAGATTTCTTGCTTGCCGAATAATTTTTTACAACAAACGTTTGAGGTGGTTATGCCTGAGACAATTCCTGTACTATTTTTACCCTAGGTTGTGTGTTACTACACAAACTGGGCACAATACAGGCCTGGACGTGGCAGGTTCACCGCGGAGAACATCGACGCGCACATTTGTACTCACATCATCTACGCTTTTGCTCGCATCCGAGGTGGAGAGATTGCTGCGTCTGAGGCGAGTGACGAGTCATGGCACTACCGTGCCGTCACCTCACTCAAAAACAAAAACCCTAGGTTGAAGGTTCTACTCGCTGTAGGTGAGCTTATTTCAGTCAATGATGACTGTTGGAAATGATGCTATACCAGTTGAAGTTTTGAGATATTGCAGACACTTTTAAAACATTCATAGGCCAAGCCTAGTTTGGTTTTGTTAGGTTAGGTTTGGCTGGCGACTTTCTATCGCTTTTCTCGCCTAAATTTGAAGTTTTTTTAATTTAAAGACCTGTATTTTCTTCAAAGAAGCACCGCCATTGATCTAGTTATTAATTATGCTATTATTATAAGCCTGGCATGAAATATCTGGCTAACATGATGGCTTCCTGGGCGAAGAAGTTTGAACTATGTACTTCAGTTAGTTTTGGATTAACGTTTCATCGGGCGTTTCGTGGGACGTCATAATTATTATAGCATTAAGTAATAACGTTAAACAATGTTAATTTTTTACACAAATAGAAATGTCTGATCGTGATGCATGGAGTGCAAAGTTTAAGTTTGATTTCCGAATTTCGTTGATGAAGAAAGGGCATATGAGATGATGGGAGCTTTTATAATCTCGAAAAAGTTATTGCAATTAGAAGTGGGCAATAAAGTTTTGATTGATCTCTCCTGAATATTGTTTGTATTTTGCTAGAGGTTCCTGTTGATTTTTGCTTTTGTCAGGAGGCGCCAGTTACGGCACGCAGATGTTCAAAGACCTGGCGGGGCGGGAGCCAGCTTTCATCCGGAGCGCCATTTCCTTTTTAAGGTTAGAAGTGGATTTCCACAATTTCCAGTGCTTCAACGTGTCTAGAATGAACATGTTATATTCACTTCAAAATTTCTGGTTCAGTTGATGTGCTTGGCTGCTGTATAATTTGAATGTCATGGTTCATATATGTGCACATTTGGGCGAATTTCAAGCAATATGTTTGGACATTTAATAATATAAAAATTATTTCAACAGAAAGTATGACTTTGATGGACTCGATGTGGACTGGGAATACCCTGAGGCCTGCGACAAGGCCAATTTCACAAGACTCCTCCAGGGTCAGTCTCATTTGCTCACTGAAGTTTATTGTCAAGATGATGTGCGACGTTAAATTTACTTGCATTAAATAATTCAGTGGATAGAGGCTACAGCTTTTTTTGTCGAAATTGAGATGTAACTATACCTCAATTAGAAAAGGAAGAATCAATTAAGACTAGACCTGATTTTTCGTGTTGAACTCGTTTTATTTTTATTTACTATAATTATTTGATAGCACCCTAAAATTACTCAGCAGCTGTTCACTTGGTGCACCTTATAGGGCTTTATTTTCGTATTGGGTTCAAGGGTTCGACTGTAAGCTGTTTTGATTCTTAGAGCTGAAGAACGCGTTCGTGGCCGAGGCGGAGCGCACTCACAGGTCGCGCCTCCTGCTCACTGCGGCCGTCCCGGTGGGTCCGGACAAAATCAGTAACGGCTACGACGTTCCTGCCGTCGCAAGGTGAGATAATATTGTGAAAATACTAGAAATAACCAATAAGTGATTATTTGTTGTGTTGTTCAGATATTTCTCTGATCGAGAATTATACATAATCTTGCATTCTACGATCACGAATAATAATAGTTATTGAGATATGAACGAATTGCTTATAAGTTCGGAGTTGTTTTAAGTAACCACCTTATATGATAAACAGTTTAATAATGCTCCATTTGAGATTATCGACATATCCTCGAGAATATTGCGGCAATGTTTTTAAAATAATAATGATACCTAAAATGTCACTAAATTAGGCTTCATATCGAGAAAATTGAAGGGACAAGCGACTTAGTTACCAATCCCCTGATATTATGACGCCCATAAGATGGATACACGAGGTAATCAGTACATATGTCGTGCCCAAATCGCGAAATTGCCGATTCTATGGAATCGGCAGCCAGCTGCTGAACCTGTAGAATAATCCCGCGCGCATCCGAATTGCCACTCAATGTAGCAAGGATACGAAATTAAACGTTAATGGAGCTTGTACCAGTCAAGGATGGTGGAAGCGACTACATGTTCACAGGAGGGTGATTGAGCTTCACTCCGAGTAGAGACTCTATTTATAGGCTGGGCAGCGAATTTCCTCTAGTCTTGTTTCTTTAAGACCCCCCACCTCCCCCCTTGCGGAATCTCTAGTGAACGCATAAATCAACGTACAGAGATGGTAATGGTACCGTTGGATAGCTCAGAATGTCAGCTTTAAGATGAGACTGAAAAACGGAAAAGCCAAACCCGTCGATTTTGAACCGATATGGTCCCCTTAATTAAATTTACAGGAACTAGACCGAACTTGACCGAACCTTTTCTAACTCTACCTGTCGATTTATCTTCTAACTCTAACGTCTGATTTTCTGAATCAGCAACGAAATATTGATTCTACAGATTCGGCAAACTGGCAGCCGATTCCATGGAATCGGCAATTCCGCGATTTCGGCACAACATATATCCAAAATTCAAAATACTCCATGAGCCGGATTGTCAAAAAAACCTAAAATTTCCTGTCTATATTATTTAATCCAGATTACTTTTCTCTCAGGTTCGTGGATTTCCTGAACGTGATGGCGTACGACTTCCACGGCCCGTGGGAGGGCAGCGTGGGCCACAACGCCCCCTTGTACGCCCAGGCCAGCGCCGGCGACTACCGCCGGCAGCTCTCCGTCACCAATGCCGCTAGAATGTGGGTCATGCGAATTATTCTATAATACGATAATTTGTATTCTACAAGTTACAAATAATTTGTATTCTACAAATTAGTGTAGAATATTTCATTTCTCAATGCCATATAATGTTTTCACGAAAAACCAAAGAGGCTGACACGTTCCAACCTTACTACGATAATGTGCATTTCTGTTATACAGCTTCAAGAGGAAGATCAACAAATGAAAGTAAACTAGATTGAATAAGTGAATTTTGAAACTATGCAGTCTTGCTTTTTAACGGCGACCTTCCCTAGAAGTGTGGATATATTTTCTCTTATACTTTCGTCCATATATGGTGTATGAATTACGTTGTTTCTCAGTCACGCTTACTTGCATTTGTTCCCTTATGATGCAAGAATAGCTAGTCCCGTTGGCATTTAAATAATAACAGGAATTTTTGCTGAGCGATTAACTTATAATTTATAAACAACTAATGGTGCGAATATGTACAATAACATTTCTGAGTGATTCAGTGAAACACTGAAAAACTTCCACTCAATTGGGTGTTTATACTCTGTAATATCCATTCTGAATAGTTTATATATATATATATATTTCGAATGATGCCTAATTGCAAGACAGCTGGCACGAGTCAGGAGCCCCCAAACATAAGCTGGTGATCGGCATGCCGACGTACGGACGCTCGTACAGGCTGGCGAACACTGCGCATACGAGTCCCTACAGCGCCGCTGCTGGCGCCTGGGAGGCCGAAGAATACACACGAGAGGAGGGCATCATGGCTTACTACGAGGTGAGTGGAGGGATACACGGCTTACTACGAGGTGAGTGGAGGGTTGCATGGCTTACTACGAGGTGAGTGGAGGGATACATTACATGGCTTACTACGAGGTGAGTGGAGGGCATCATGGCTTACTACGAGGTGAGTGGAGGGATACACGGCTTACTACGAGGTGAGTGGAGGGCAACATGGCTTACTACGAGGTGAGTGGAGGGTTGCATGGCTTACTACGAGGTGAGTGCCGCTGGATGTGGAAGCTTCTTCGAGTGGAACGCCCCTTCTCACCGGGGTGTCTGTGCGCAGTGGCGGCACCCGTCGAAGGAAGCGTGCGACCAAACGAGGAATCCAAACACGAGCCTGAACTAAAATTTGAACACATGAACCTCCTCCCAATCACAAACATTGACCACACTGTTGCCCAATTTAACAAAATCATCCAAGAGGCTGACAAGAAACACATACCAAAGGGCAACGGAAAACAACACAACCTATAACTTCACACTTGAGATAGCCAGCCTCATCCGTCAACGCAACAATCTCAGACAAACACCCACCCCACACTCACCAATCGCTACTCGAGAAATCCAGGAACTAAACGCACAAATTCAGAACAAAATCACAGAGCAACAGCAACGGGCCTGGCTCGAGTTCCTGGATACACTGGACCACAAATCCAACATCACACATCTCTACAGAACAATACGCAGCTTACACAACTCAAACAGCAAACAATAACACACCCACGCAGCAATCACCACCAACACAGACAACATCCCCACCAGACAAGCACAAGCAAACATACTAATACAACACTACGAACATAAGTAGGTTACCCAAATACAAAGAAGACAGACGCATCATCAGACGCAAATAACAATTTCCACTAGACCCAACAGCTACCCTAGCCACTACAAACGACACCTAAAGGGTCATACAACAAATTAAAAACTCTTCCGCTGCTGGACCCAACAACATTACGAACATACACCTTAAACACTTTGGCCCACACTGAATCACGACACTTACAAACATTGCTAACTTCTCCTACTCGCACTCCAAAATACCATACATCTGGAAAATTGGCAAAATAATCACACTTCTCAAACCCAACAAACCACCTACTGAGGCCGCCTCATACAGACCAATCACACTCCTCTGTACACATCAAAAGTCATAGAGCGCCTCATACTGAACACAGCCACTCCGCACATTACACTTTCTCCAACACAACGCGGATTCAGACCTCACCACTCGACTACAACACTACTCCCAAACCTCACACAAAGCATAATTCGATGGCATCAACTCCCGGAAACCCGCACACAGAACACTACTCCTTACAATAGATATCAATATGCCTTTTCCCTCTCCCTCCTTACAATAGATATCAGTAGAGCCTTTTCCCTCTCACAAACAAAATTTACAACACCACACTACACAACAACAATAAACGCTGGCTTGCCAATTACCTATCAGGCAGACAAGCATACGCGCACTACTCAGGCAAGTCATCACACACATCACTCATACCCAACGGAGTCCCACAGGGCTCCGTCCTATCACCCTCACTCTTCAATCTATATATGCACGACATACCCGAACCACCTCCAAACATCCACATTGGCTCCTACGCAGATGACGTCACAATAACATCCACTCACCCATCCGCAGACATATGTACTCAACAAGCGCAAACATATCTCAACACTTTATCACAATGGCTCACACTGAACAGACTCAAGGTTGCTCCTAGTAAATCTACAAACACATTAATGACCAGCCACACAAAGAAGCACCATTACAGACCAAACACCACATTGAACAACACCCCGATCCCGCACACACCCACGAAACAAAAATATTAGGGGTCACTTACAACACCTTCATGACATTCGGCCCTCACATCAACAACATAGTGAACAACGCAAACATCAGACTCAACTCACTTTGGGCCCTGGCGGTACCAAATTCGGCAAAAACAAAGAAACACTAGCACCAACATACAAACAGTTCATCAGAACAGTGCTGGCTTACGTCAGCCCCGCCTGGGCGCCCGCACTATCCAACACAAACATATAGAAACTCAACTCCAAACACTACAAAACAAAGCACTCAGGATAGTCACAGGCTGCACACAAAGCACCTTCATCGAACACCTTCATGCAGAAACAAAAATACTTCCCATAAAAGCTCACCTCGACATGAGAGGAACACAATTCATAGCTCATGGCTTGCCACGAGATCTGTCATTCATTCTCTTTAATTTTGTGACTTCAATTCTTCAATTGGCTGGTTGTAATGACATATTTTATTTTTGATTCAATTCAAAACTTTTGTTCTGCTGAGGATGGATAGTTCCACGTTTAATTTCACGTTGAATATGCTGATCGCGGAATCTGTTGGAAAATACGGTTGCAACAAAGCGGCTCAGTAAATCAAATGTTCACGAAGTAATTCGTTTGTCTCACTTCATTATTTTCAACTATATATATTATACAGGTGCAAAAAAATCTTCAGCGTGGAGGACGAAAATTCTGGGATGATGAAATGAAGGTTCCATACATGGTGAAGGGAAGCATGTGGGTGAGTTTTGACGACGAAAAGTCAATAAAGAAGAAAATGAAGTTCATCAAGAATGAAGGCTTCGGAGGAGCCATGGTCTGGACTCTGGACATGGACGACTTTAATGAGAGCTTCAGTCATCGCAAATTTCCTCTCGTGAAGATCATGTCGTGAGTTATACAAAATTTTTTAAATTAATAAACAGCTCAGATTAGCCGTCATACTTTTTCTTTACAAATTTCGTTTAAAGGGAAAGCGTATTGGGTTGTATTGAAAAAATTTTTAGTGGTTTAGATTTGTCACCAAATTGTAGAAAATGTCGCAGAACATTGTTTCAGATTCATCAGGCGTCTTGATTGGTAGGAATTTCAGTGAAGATTTAATCAATTCGTAGCGACTTATCGTCAAACTATTCGAACATAGAGCTCCACATGACGATTCAAACAGACAGTTTCGGTTTCGCCACAGAGCCATCGTTTCACACGATTGCCAGCTGTCAACCTAAATAACTGGAATAGTAGTATGGAAATTCTTGACCCAGAGGATTTTTTAGATAAAAATTACGTTGGGACTTGTTCGAAGCTTATCTATAGAAGTGAGGCCCCTGTTTTACATGCTTGAGTCGACCGCGGCCTTCGGAGAAATAATGCCGCTAGAACGTTGCAACAATTTTCATTTCGCACCCATTCTTCAATGAAGTTTAAGAAAAATATTAACAGAGTAAAGTGCAATAATGTAAATGTCTTATCCCATGATGTGCAAACAAGGTAATATTTTGTAGAGTTAAGCAATCTTTCCACTGCAGGGAGATGCTGCTCTGAGGTTCACAAACCCCGATATGAACCAACAGAGGCCCCTGGATGGCGTGGAGGAGCGTCGTAGAGCGGCCGTGGAGCGCCACCACGAGACAACGTGTGCTGACTTACAGCAAAGTTGTGGCGCCCGCTCCTGGCAAGAGGACAGCGGCTCTTAGTTACTAGTTATTTTAGCAGTTTTTATTGGAATGATAACTCCATTTTTTACTTAGCAGATTGTTCTGAACGAAAATAATTTAGGAAAGAAAGGTAATTTACACTTACTGGTGTAGCTTGTCTCGTTTACATGACTTTGTTTTCATTTTACGTTCTAAGGATTTCAATACTTTTATGCTAAGAATTTCTGCTATTTCTTTCGTTACACGCGAAATATCCGCTGTGTTTCTATAACACTTTTGTTTAACGCTTCGCTTATTATTATTTTTTGAGAATCGAAAGCCTTCAATCGTTTCGCTTTTTATGTTCAAGTTGTGCTTTTTAGATTATCACATTTCATTGAACTATAAGCTGATTATTTGGCAAAATCAATAAATAATGACGTAAGTTCGGGCAAGCAAGTAAACGTGTTACGTTACTGCCGGCACGCGAGCCAGCGATCGTCTGATGAAAATGCTCTGTGTCTATGGAATTTCTGTATTTTTGATCATTGCGCACTATGTAGTGAAAATATTTTTATGTTCGGATGATGTGTCTGAACGGTGGGAGGGCTTATCAGGACTTGTTTAATACTGTACTTTGGTTTTGGCTCAACTTTGGCCGCTGTGTTGGCGTAACTTTCATCTGGAAAAGCCTTTATGCAACAATAACAGAGATGCAAGTGTTCCTCAAGTTTTTTTTTGTTCATGATACATTATAGTCGTTCTTGTATGTACTCTGAATGTATGTTTATGTAACTTCTGAAATCCTTTCACTCGATGTACCCAGTTTAATTGGGACCCGCGTAGGATAATATGTTCAGTATATAATCAATTTATGCGTTTCAATAATATTGATTTCAACTACATGTTTTTTTTGTCCCTCAATAGACAAGCTATATAAGAAAATGAAGTGAATTCATTAAAGATTACACATACTCAGTTACAGTAATAATTTTTATGATGATTTAAGTTGACAAGGCGACGAATATCCAGAAGTTAAGTTTCGTCTTTTGTCTTGCCCAGGCGGCAATTATTGTAATATTGTTTGGTAATGTTAGAGCCTACACAGCAGCCTCGTAGTGTACTTCATGCGGCGCAACTCTAATCGTCTTCATGCGCATGGTTAATATTAAGTAATTCTTAAAGAGATATTATAAATATGAGGCTGCCAATGATTTTTGACGCAATAGAATGTAATTTCAAGTTTTCAGTATTAAAGAACGTTCTGAAACGAAAGCACAGTTTTTGCGACGGCTAAATTTTATGCAACCTCGTAAATTATGGATAGAAATATGGTTAGGAAATTCAAAATCATCGGGGCAGCAGTTATGAACTTCCTGGGTGGAGCACCGAGAAAGAGTTTCATGCTTGAGCAGAGATCCGCAGTAACCTAATCGTGAAGCCATCCATAAGCGCCACTACGAAATAAAGACTGCGTGTATCTGCATGCGATGTGACCGCTGGGCAGCGTAAATGAGAGTGTGGCCACTCAGCAGCGTAAATAAGAGTGTGACCGCTGAGCAGCGTAAATGAGAGTGTGGCCACTCAACAGCGGAAATGAGAGTGTGACCGCTGAGCAGCGTAGATAAGAGTGTGGCCACTCAACAGTGTGTGACGGGATACATATTATGTGATATTTTTTTATTTTATTGAGTACCGTTTTGACCACGCGTTATTTTGATGATGTTTTGTTAGGTTAGTGACTCAATAATGGTTGAATATATTTATTTTATGACTACAATATGGACTCTCGTTTCACTGTGATATTATTTTGTTCATAGGATTTAGTAACTAGCGTCTTGGGACTTTTCATCGGTTGAAAATTTATATAAAAATTCCGAAATGTTTGTTTGAATCGAAGCTCATGTGTTACCAATCTCGCCATAGGTTATCTAAATATTATTTAACCAATTCTACAATTATCTTAGCAGTTTTCTTAGCAATAAGTTTTATCTTGATTATGATTTGGGCTAAGTAATTTCCCAAGATAAAACATGAGCATACTCTTCTCGAGAGCGTTTAGTTGGCTCAAAAAAATGTCAGTTTCTTTATAAACTTTTTCGTCCGGCTCTCTGGACATTGAAAATATCATCAGGCCTTAATATATTAGGTCTGGGACAATTCATATCTGCCTATTAGTCGTGTTTAATCGGTGAGGAGTTTTTGCTTTCTGATTTTTTTGAGTTAGGGTAACATGGGGCAGCGAGCCACTGCGGGTCACTGGCCCATAGCGGGTTTCTCGCTAAGTATGGCAGATATTGGTTATTTTGCGCGTATATCACGAATGAGTCTCGCTCTTCCTAGGACCCTTTACGCTGCATCGCTGGGCCTTGAGCGCTAAAATGAGGCTCCATGATAAGGTAAAAGCACTATCATTTCTCACGCGGCAAATAATTAAACTTATAAGAAATGATCATTTTTGATCTATATAATTAGTATTTATCACTACTTTCTATCACTTATAATATTTTATTAGTATATATATTTTTTAATTTTATTCTCTGTGATTAACAGATTAATATTCTCGGTAAGTTGATTTATTACACTAATAAAAACTAACTTATTATAATCAAATGGCTTAAATATCGAGTGCTCAAATGTGATTTTCTTAATACTGGTCGAACAATGTCGCCATGAATGTTTCTACACTTTTAATGAATTGCGGCGGAAAAATAAGTGTATATCTAAATGGAATGACGCTTTGTCTGTCAAGGTGTCCTCGAATAACATTTGTCCCTTGTATCGGATTGAAAAGTTCTCAGCCGTCCTTAACTTATCAATAAGAAATAGTTTAATTATTTTGTAGAACTCGCACGAATTTTTATGATAGAAAGTAGTTGCGGTTGCCAGGAAAGAAGATCGTCAATTTCCAAGAGATGAGGCAGGGTGGCAGGGTAGCCCAGTTGTTACAGTTCAGAGTATCAGGATTCAGAGTATCAAAATCGGCAAGAAGGCCGTGCGGTAAAGCACAGCAGAATTGTAGCAGTGAGTTGCAAGTTCGAGACCACAACAAGCTGTGAATATTCTGCGATGTTGAGAATCAGCGACAAACCAATATTATTGTTATTATTATTATGAGTAGGCTAGAACTATCGTCCTATTAGTAGCGCGCTGCTGCCATCTAAACTTTATAAGAACGTTGAACTTTCTTGCTGGTTCTTCAGAGAGGCTGACAGTGGCACCTACAGTCCTGTACTCTCGAACGGATGATTGCTGCTACAACTAGCCTGCATTATGGAATGGATGATTGTTGCTACAACTTGCTTATGTTATTGAATGAATGATTGTTGCTACAACTAGCAACTCCTGTAAGCGTAACCACCTTCCGGTAAGCGTAAGGGTGTTTCAGTATCGGAGTCTAGGCCGGCGGCGCTCTACCATATAGGCGTCTAATTCACATCATACATTCCTCATTAGTTGTACCTTTAAACAAAACAAAGAACCACCTCGTATCAATTAAAACTTCATCAAAAATTTAGTTTAAAAAAGGGGGGGGGGCGCGCTGCCCCATGTTGCCCTATATGGCTATGAGGGGCAAGACATGCGGTAAGCTTAATTAAATGATGTCTCAACTTACCGAATAGATTCAGACGAAACTTCACCCCATGCATTACAACCTAGGCTTACAGCTCCAATGTGGTTAGCGGCGAGAGGAACTGCATCAAATAAATTCTTCAGGCTTCATCGTGTCTTTACATAAGCTAGGTTTTCCAAGCGCCTTGAGAGTCTATCGCCAATCTGTGCTATATCAACACAATACATTAAACACGATTTAGTTTTATTTACCTAGAGTCCTAGACGAAACTTTGCTCAACCAATCACCACTGCTGAAGACTTCAATCAAATATTGAGGGGGTCAATCAACTAAAAGATCTTCATTAACAGTAGTTATATTATAACGTAAACGATTCGGACTATTATCAGTAATATTTATGTAGAACAAGAAATTATAACTTGAGGCTACTATCTTAGGTATTGGTTCAGTCACTTGGAAACATTTTGCGTGAATGTTATTAAAGCAGAATTTATAGTAAATTCATTTCTCATGTATTATATAGCTGGGATTTATTTGAGGCTGAACGTAGTTCACGTTTGCAGTTAAGCTCCATGTGGGACGTTCAAGATGGATTTCAATTAACTTTGGGTCATCTGGTTGGGGTCCAATATTGGTAGAAAAAAGTTTAGGGTTCCATTCCGCCTTTAACTTTTTCCCGTGCATTTGAATCTCCTACTATTCTGCTTGTAGGATACTACTCTTTCTACTTTACACTCCTCTTCTGTGCGAGTTCATATTAGCCTAATAATTGAGGCCTTGGCTGCACACTGACTAGGTTTGGGTGTGTGCCATTGCTCACTTTTATTTAATATTTACTTACTTTTTATTTACATAAATGTTATGCAGTATTTATTAATTTAGTTAATTTTTATTTAGTAATGGTAGTATTGTGCGATGTAAAATAGTACCATTTATTGCTATTAAGACTGAGTGCACTTGATTTGCAGATGCCGAAACATTTTTTTTCCTCAGTACAGTTTTAAATTAGTTAATCTAGCTTGTTTTGAGACAATTACATGAATTGCATAATATTTTATCATGCTTTTATCAACAAAAAACACTTTGTTGAGCCTACTCAAAACTGGACATATTACTTCTTCGTATAGCTCACTACATTCTCATTTCATGGCTAACTGATATAGATTAATCCAGTTGAAACATAATGGATTTCTCGACACGAATATATGAAAAACATTTAGTCAGTAACATCAAAAATTGGGTTTTGACCATTAGACTTCATTATTAATTTTGAATGCTATGTGCGATTCTTCGAGGTCGCATAAAGTGATGGAACACGACGGATTTGTTTGTGCTAAACCGCCCGGCCACTTTTCCGATTTTGCCTAGAACTGTCACAGGTAGTTGGGATCGAACCCAAACTATTCTACTCCAATCCTGTCACTCTGAAGTGTAACTGGGCCACCACATTATATCTGCGGTTTTCTTAACAATAAGTATTATCTTGACTATGGTTCGGTGCCTAGTAATTCCTCCAAATAAAACGTTAGCACCTGCTTCTATAGATCATTGAGTTGGCTCATTAAAATACTCAATTTATATACAAAGTCTTTTTCGATCGGCTCCCTGGCCCTTCAAAATCTCATCAGGTCTCAACCAAATTAGGTCGGGAAAAATTTATAGCTGCCTATTGCTCGTGTTTGATCGGTGAGTAGTTTTTGCTTTCTACTTCATTTTCGAGTAATGGGCTATGAGGGGGAAATATGTGTGGTCAGTCTAAATTATATTTCAACCTTCCGCAAAGACGTTACATTATTCGTTTACTCTATATACGCTAAACAGCCCTTTCATGTAAGGTTCAGATCTGCACACTTGCACCTGAGAAATCCTCTTGCTTCTGTAGCACCTCTGCTGAAAACTGCTGTTTGATCCTCCTTGGTAGTTCATCGACCATTCATATATACCACGTCAGATTTTATTTCACAATTTCAACCTCGAAGACAAAGAAACTTTTGATGACTCATCTGCTGTTACTGAAGACATTGGATAAACATGAAAGGGGTAACTCAACAATAAATCTAAATGAAAATGACAGCGTGTATAAAGTATAGGACTATTAGATAAGGACTATCAGTATTATTTATGCACACCAAGAAATAATGACCTAGTACTGCTATAACAGGTGTATAAGTTTAGTCATTTGGTAAAATCATCACAAGTTAAAGTTAATAAATCAAGGAACAAATCTTGACGACCATTGCGGCTGCCACACAGCAGCCCAATGTTTTCTGGGCTAATTATGAACTCGACGGAAGAAATATGTGTGCAGGCGCTTTCAATTCTAGTC